ATTTGACTAATCCCTTCAGATCATTACAACGAATCCTGACCCCGATGTCAAGAAGCAAATCGTACGAGAGCTTTCTTTTAACAAGAACTGTGCCAGCGACCACATTTGTCGCTACTACGGTGCATTCATGGACGACAGTACAGGGACTATTAGTATTGCTATGGAGTTCTGCGAAGGCGGATCACTCGATGCGGTATACCGCGAGGTCAAGAAGCTAGGAGGCCGGACTGGCGAGAAAGTGCTTGGCAAGGTCGCTGAGGGCGTGCTTAATGGACTCACCTACCTCCACTCTCATCGCATCATCCACCGAGATATCAAGCCCAGCAACATTTTACTATGCCGGAACGGCCAGGTGAAGTTGTGTGATTTTGGTGTGTCTGGAGAGTTCGGAACCAAAGGAGACGCCAACACATTCATTGGAACGTCATACTACATGGCACCCGAGCGCATCACTGGGCAAAGCTATACCATCACTAGTGATGTGTGGAGCTTAGGTGTGACTCTGCTAGAAGTTGCGCAGCATCGCTTCCCTTTCCCGGCCGACGGAACTGAGATGAATCCCCGCGCTGGGTTGATTGACCTACTCACCTACATCGTTCGGCAACCCATTCCTAAGCTGAAAGACGAGCCTGAGAATGGCATCAAGTGGACAGAGAACTTCAAATACTTCATTGAATGCTGGTATGTAGATTTCTTGTACAGAGTTGGACTTCTGCTAACAATTTCCAGTCTTGAGAAGGACTGTCCTCGAAGAGCCACGCCCTGGCGGATGCTCGAACATCCATGGATGGTCGAAATGAAATCCAAGAAAGTCAACATGGCTCATTTCCTTAAACAAGTTTGGGATTGGAAAGACTAAGCGCGCTTGCATCCAATTGCGAACGCTGTTACGACTCGCGATTATCTTGCTGTTGACGTTGGCGTCACATTGTGTTGCAACATTCACAGTCTTTCATGAGCTTCGAACGGCTCAACTTGTACCTTCAATCAACACACTTGGTCGCATGCTGGGCATCATACCAAGATTGCCTGCACGGAAAACAACCGTACGTGGGAACAAAACTCTGGACTTGTAGCACGGACTGCAATTATCATAAAGCTTGGAGAATATCTTGGTGAAACAAGGATTAGGGCGCGAGTTCGATAAGCGCTGTGTGGAGACCATAGGCATTGACGGCGTCTGAGCGGCTCATGTTGCATACAGCAACCTTTTGCGGAAATGTGATCTATGTACGACTGAATGTTGAGAACCAAATCTTCAAAGAACCTAAATGTACTGACTGAGGCACGACCCGATTTATGAGGACGCGATGAAGGACTTTTTTTTAGACAACAAATTCTACTCGGCTGAATAGGAAACCGTCTTTCCACAAGAATTAATCCTCTATGTTTGCATCGACTTCATTCTTATCCCTAGTGAGTGTATGCTCCATGAGGCTTAGCGCAAGAACCGGTCCGACACAGCTCCGATTGCTCCAAGCCCGCGAGGCTTGGAGTCATATCAAATAATTTACGCCGCTACATCATCTAGTCAGCCAGTCGATTGAGGAAGTGACGGACCTTCAACGCGCTCTTCTATCGAGTAGATCCCCGCGTGCGACTACTGCGACCACGCCAACCGCCTGAGAATTGCTCCTTACTCCCAACCTACCCCTCCAAATACCCCACCATCGCACACGAGAATCGCGCCAAAGTCTCCTGCAGACCAAACAATCTGCCAAAATGCCGACGATTGGAGTAGATAAGGCGGCTCTTTTCAAGGAGCTAGGCAAGGAGTACACCTACCAGGAGTTCGACGACCTATGTTTCGAATTTGGTATCGAGTTGGACGAGGACACCAGCCTGAGCACCAAGCCAGAAGATCAGGCGCAACCACCACAACTCAAGATCGAGATCCCTGCGAACCGATATGATATGCTGTGTTTCGAGGGTATTGCAATGAATCTTAAAGTCTTCCTTGGAAAACAGAAGTTGCCCAAGTGGACCGTCACTGCGCCCAAAGGAGGAGAGCTTGAGGTGTTGGAAATCAAGCCCGAGGTATGAAAGTTGTCTGTATGGAAGTAGAGCAGTTGCGCTGATGATATGTCATACAGACAAAGCAAATACGAGAGCTCTGCTCTGGTGTCATACTACGAGGCATCACCTTCACGAAAGAACGATACGAGTCCTTCATCGCGTTACAAGACAAGTTACATTCCAACCTGGCGCGTCAAAGGACGCTGGTATCCATTGGAACGCACGATCTAGACAGTAGGTGGTCCTGCATGTTTATTTTGCGGCGATGTCTAACAAAACATAGCAATCAAGGGCCCTTTCTCGTACGAAGCGCTACCACCAGAGCAGATCAAGTTCACACCTCTTAACCAAGACAAAGAGATGAACGCAAAGGAACTTATGGAGTTTTATGAGGTTAGTAGTTATCTTCTGTTTCTACAATCTGTGTTTCTGACCTTGAGCAGAAAGACAAGCACCTCGGACGTTTCCTGCACATTATTCGCGACTCGCCAGTATACCCTGTAATCTACGACGCAAACCGCACTGTCCTCTCGTTACCACCTATCATCAACAGCAATCATAGCAAGATCACACTCGACACGAAGAACGTCTTCATCGAAATCACTGCGACAGACAAGACCAAGGTCGAGATTGTCAACCATATGCTTGTCGCCATGTTCGCTGGTTACGCTGAGTCGATCGAACCTATCAAGATCAACTCACCCCACAATGGAGAGTCAAGAGAGTCGCCAGATCTCTCACCACGGCAAATGCAGGTTGAGGTCGACTATTTGAACCAGGTCACTGGTCTAAACAAGTCTCCCGAGGAGATCTCGGAACTTCTGTCGAAAATGGGTCATGATGTTTCACCATCTCAGTCTGACAAGAACATCCTTGATGTTTCTGTCCCAATCACTCGGGCAGATATCCTCCATCAAGCCGATATCATGGAGGATTACGCGATCGCCTACGGGTTCAACAAATTGCCGCGGGTGTACCCTAACAAAACTGCTGCGGTCTCAGCACCATTGCCGATCAACAAGCTCGGTGACATAGTTCGGATAGAGTCTGCATCCTCAGGATGGACCGAAGTCATGCCTCTTATCCTCTGCTCACATGAAGAGAACTTTGAGTGGCTAAATCGGAAAGATGACGGCAAGACGGCAGTCAAGCTTGCAAACCCCAAGACCGCGGAGTATCAGCTCGTCCGAACATCGTTACTACCAGGTCTCCTCAAGACAATCAACTCCAACAAGCACCATTCGGTACCCATGAAGATCTTCGAGGTCAGCGATATTGGTCTTGTCGATTTGGAGCAGGAGAGAAAGAGCAGGAACGAGCGACACTTCGCTGCAGCTTTCATGGGCAAGACAAGCGGCTTCGAACAAATACACGGTCTGCTGGACAGACTGATGCTTATGCTCCGGTCGGCGTTCCTTACGCGGGAAGACGGCCTCAAGAACGAACAACTACAGGGATACTGGATAGAAGAGGTTGATGGTAAGTGCACGCTCTCGGTATTCAGAATACGTATAGGTTTACTGATTCGTCATAGATCCAACCTTCCTTGCTGGACACTCGGCCGCTATTAAGCTGAACCTTGGTGGTAAGAACCACACCATTGGTGTCTTTGGTATCTTGCACCCGAGTGTGCTTCAGAAGTTCGAATTGCCGTAAGTTCATTCAAAACGGTACTGAATCAGAAACTGACAAATATACAGATATCCCGTGAGTACGCTGGAGTTCAATCTAGAAGTCTTCTTGTGAGATGCCTCACATCCGCCCTTGGTGCAGTCTTAGAACACTCTTTCTGGCGCAATAGATTACTAGATGTCACGCTCGAATTGACACGATATGGTCTGCCACCTGCAAATGCTGGACTGAAATCGTACGAAGCATCGCATTTGTTTAAAGTTTACCAACCAAGCAAAAATGACAAACTCCTTGGCACAGGGTAGCGCGACGCGTGATGCTATCGTCACCAGAAAGATATAGTGCCGTGCGCAATGCCGTGTTAGCCGTCTTTTGGAACACTCGACTATGATAAATCTGTAAAGCTGTGCGTAGTGCTGCACCCCGACTCGATACAGATTCGATAATGATGCCCGTTAGTGTTTGGGGAAGCCTGCAAATTACTAGTTCACGCGTGGTGACGTCACCCCCATCGCATGCAAACATCGAATAGAGCGGGTGTGTCGGCCGCTTCACCTCTACTTTCTTCGGTACATCCTGCAAGAACGATTGAGAGGGCCCGCAAAATATCCACGCGACGTCTTTCGACTTCTGCGAATTCCAGCGTTAAGCGTTGCGTAGCCTCTTTGGAGTGCCGATTACCCGTGCTGCTCGCATCGTTCCTGACGGGGAGTTGGCTTCAGATGTCACTGTGCATGCAGCGAACTAGTATATGAGCGAATAGCAGCCGGCGACCGCGCGTATTCAGGGTGTTCACATTGGTCTGGTAGGGATTCAAGTAGCGTCCAGGGCCGAAGCATTTAAGCAAGCGTGTCCAAGCGGAGACTTGTCAAAGGCTAAGAGCACCGAGATTCGATGGCTGGGCGCATAGTCTTCTAGAAGACAGACTAGTACTTACGAGAAGCTCACTCGAAAGCTGGCTCATGGCCAAACAAAACCTCAGGAGCTTTTCCGAAGGTGTTTGTGCCGTATACGCACCTTACCTTCTAGACTTCTGATGGTTGGTGCCGGCATGGCATTCTCCTCTGTACCTAACAAGTGGTCTACGTCGTTTGTGACGATGGTTATGCTTCTTGCTTCGCGATCTTGGTTCGATTTTTGCTAGTGAGTAGCCGCCGATATCGAGGGTAGCAAGTGTGTACCCCGTACCCAGCAGTGGCATCCATCCACCGATATTTCTGTAGGTATATATATTGAGTCCCTTTCTGTATACACTGCCAGTATGCACCTCTTCAGAACTTTATATCAGCTTCAGCTTCTCAATAAGAATACTTTCCTTCGATACCATACCCGTATCCATTCACTACTTCAACATGTCTCCTCGCGCAGTGCACTTCATCCGTCATGCCGAAGGCTACCACAATTCGGAACACAATGAGAACATCCCCGACCCAGACCTCACTCCAAAGGGCAAAGAACAATGCAAAAAGCTTTCACAAACATTCCCTTACTTTGATCGCATCGACTTAGTTTGCGCGAGTCCTATTCGCCGCGCTATCCAGACCGCACTTATCAGCATGGACCCTTGGTTGCAGTCTGGAAAACGCAATATTCTAGCTCTACCCTTAGCCCAAGAAGCCACGGACCTGCCTGCGAACACACCAAGCGACGTGCAGCGCCTTCAGAAAGAATTCGGCGATGTGTGCAATTTTCACAGGTGTTTAGACGTCTACACCGATTTTAACACGAAGAAGGGGAAGTGGGCGTCAGACGGTGATTCGTTAAAAGCACGCGCGCTTGAACTTCGCCGCTTCCTACGCGACTGCGACGAGCAGGAAATTGTCGTTGTATCGCACGGTGATTTCCTACATTATGTTTCCGGGGATCTGGATGAGAATGATTGTCAGACTCATGGAGATTGGCAGAACACGGAGACGAGGAGTTACCGATTCTACCCGGTCGGTCACGAGGATGCTTTATTGCAGGAGACGGAGGAGAGCGTGAAGTTGAGGCACGCAAGTGGACCTGGGCAAGCGATGGGATCTGGCGAGAGTAAGACACCGTGAGATAGGGCGATTGGAAGTGCTGGATGGTAGAATAGCGATTCTACTATGATTTTCGATCTTCTGCGAAGTTGAGTATGGATAGTGATTACGAGTCAGGAACAGCAATATTGCAAATTATTCCATGACTTGCGAATTGGTGAAAGTGAAGAACATAGAGATACTTGTTCCCCTTCGCAGCTACCCCACAAATAGATATTCGGCGAATCTTGCTACATCCAGTGGCGCTAATCCCGGAATCACCTTCCACGAAGAGCAAGATCGCGGCTTTGTATCTCAGATGACGGACCGTAACCTTCGTAACATTAGAAACACTCAATCATTATAACATGGAAGCCTTCATCTCAACAAGCATATTTTCGATTTCCACATGTTCCCCAACATCGCCGACATCCTCGAATCCGCTCCCACTACAACCCTCACCTCAACACCAATCACTCCTGCATCTGAGATCACTATGGCGAGTGATATAATAACGCACATCGTACTCTTCAAATACCGGCAAGATATATCATGGTCAGATCTAGAAAGCCATTTCAAGTCCTTCATGTCACTACAGCAAAAATCGCTAGACCCTCATACTGGTAAACCCCTCATACAGTCGCTCAAAGCTGGCAAGAACAGATCATGGGAGCCTTTCTCGAAGGGCATGACACATGGCTTCGTGCTCGAGTTTGCGAACCAAGCGGATTTGGACTACTACCTCACAACCGAGCCTGTGCACAAGGCCTTCTCCCAGGCCGCGAAACCGCTTATCGAGGACAGCTTAGTGATTGATATCAAAGATGGTGTGCTCTTTGGCTCACCGGCTGAACATCCATCAACAAGAGAGGATAGAGTAAGAAGAGGGACATGTCATTGCGAGAGCATTCACTGGACAGCGAAGCTTGAGAATGCTGAGCATGTGCTTTGCCACTGCTCAACGTGTCAAAAGCTCGGTGGCGGTCCGTACTCATGCAATCAAATCATACCGAAAGAAGAACTGCAGATCATCTCAGGCGAAGAGAACATCAGACAATATCGTTACAAAGGCGCCAGCGGTATGTTTCGTTTTGCCGCGTTGGTGGAGAGAGAAAAGGAGCTGACGGGGTTAGGTAAATTCGTGCGATGCTATTTTTGCAAGATTTGCACGAGCCATATCTACCATCATCAGGATGTCATGCCGGAAAAGATTATTGTCCGTACTTTGTTACTGGAAGGTGGTGAGAATATGCCAGCAACTGCTGAGATATTTGGCGAGGGAAGGTTAGCCTGGGTACAAGAGCTTTCGAAGCAACTATGAGCGGTGACTTGGTAAGGTGCAGAATAGGAAAACTCTCAAGTGGAACATAAGCATATTTTCTTTTGGACTTCCTTCCAATATCTACTACAAATCCACGACAATTGGTGTTAGTGATATACGTAAGCTCAACTCTGCTGCACTGCCAATTGCACCTGGTATCTAGCCATCATCCCTCCTGCTCCGTCTTTTAAAGCAGATCGCGAGGTCTTTGTTCGCCATTCGTACTGTTCGAATCCTTCTCGTGGCTGTTGTCCACTGTCCACGCAACTGTCTTTGTGATCATCATTGGATCCCCATGTTGTGTGTTCCTTCTCGTAATGTGCTCGTCCTCGCCCGGTACATTTGTCAGCTCCAATTCATCAATCTCCTTGAACGTGCTGTGCGTCTTCGCAGTTCTCGTGAAGCGTTTCGACCGAGCATCCCCCTGAGAGCCGGCTGTGGGGTACATGTACCCGCGATTGCTTGATTCATCTGCATTCCTAAGCGAAGGGATGCAGCAACTGAGAATGTACTTAATTGTTGGGCCACATGTCCCGACAATTGCGAGTCCAGATTCGATGTTTGAGAGGGTGTAGCCAACTCCGTATGACCCATCTTCCGTGGCCTCTCTCAGTACAAAAACTTTGACAAGGACACTCGTGCGCACCGCGCCGACCACAGTGACTAGAATTCCGAAGGACAGAAATGCAATGACCATGAGCTTACGACCAAGAGGCATTTTCAAATCGTGTAATATCCATGAAGGCATGAGCAGGATTAGGACATCAGTCGTGAGCACAATTGACGACGTGCTGACAGTGTAGGCGCCAGCATCAACGCACCGTCCTTGAATACTGGGATTCCAGTACTTAGATATTGGATTGCATTGCAGAATGCAGGCGAGAGGTGCAGCAACGGCGAAACAGCCGTTTATGATAAGTGTTCCCCATAGACAAATGTTTATCCACTTATTCTGCGATCGGAGCTTGATGAGTGTCATTAAGAAGGAGGCCTTAACCAAGGCGAGGATGGGATTGTAGATGATCGAGTTCGCATAATTCCACTGCGAATCCGTCAGAATTATGAATATCAGGCGACGACGATGATGCTACTTCGTAACGCACCTTCATCATCACGATCGGATCGATTGCACCATCAGGGATATCGTGAGTATGGTAGCCATAGTAGCTGGTGAGAATATCTGTCGAGTGTCGTTAGCTGTATGCACACATCTATTGCTAATACGGAGTGCGAAACGAGAAAATACTTACAACCACACGTTGTGAAAGAGAGAACGAGGTTCAAAAACTAATGTACAGTACACATATTAGCTAAAGATACTGGAGATCACCATGAACCGGGGCGGTACTTTACAGTCGCAATGATCAAAAGTAAATCTTCTGAGTAGTGTGTGAGTAGAGATGTATGTTAAACCACTGAACAAACTCACCAACACCCAACCTGCCTCCTTTAAGCCTGAGTACAACACGTACGGACACTATCACGACACAGCAAACGCTTGGAAAGATCGCCAAGAATAAGTTCACTGGCTGTAAGCCTTTGTTTGCCATGGTAGAAATTTGTGTACGCAGAAGAAACGCAAAGTATAAAACAAAGCAAGTATACCGAATTTTGGAACCAGGCAGCATCTCGGGACGGTCGTTCTTGCAACCAAATGACTGAAATTTCCCTCTCCCGCTTCCGTCTCATCTCTATTACCCTGGGAGAAGAAGTAAACAGATTCACGAACGGTTGTGATTGGTCAATGTAACAGAAAGCGGCTCACAAATCCTATACGCAAGGGTTTCTGCGATCCTGCTTCACAGAACAAGTACATGAACCTTGGCCATGACCGCTGATTAGACAATCCTCCGAACCTTCCGGAAGGAAGCTTGGCAAAGGGCATCCCTCGTGGACTTGTGATGTCCAATCATAAATCTGGGTAGAATTCTGTGGCGTTCTCTCGGCTTTATATTCTCCTTCAAAGTTTCCGCGGAAGCAACTGCTTAGAAGTACAGTGAATGGCAGGTAATTTTTTGCTTCAGCTACTTGAGGCGGAAACAGATTGTGTGAAGTATCATGGGACGCTTCGTGTCGTCTTCGCGGCATCCTGGACTCCATTCGGCATGGTTTGTGGACCACATGCCATGAGTGACCCACTACAGGTTCGACGAGAACATATGAGGCCGTCTATCAAGCCGCTGGATGGTGATCTTTGCTTCATATGCCCTCCATCACACCTGCATCCTGCAGTTGGCGCAGCTAAGAATATTGTGGGGCTCGAGGCGGCTGAGAACCCTGAGCCAAACCTTTCTTCGCTTGAGATATTCCAATCTCCAAATCGCAACGATATGCTAAAGCCGAAAGCCCGAAAGTATCTTCATTATATTTTGACGATCAAAGACGGACCCGGGAAGGGCTTTGGCGTACTTCTATTGGTGGAATAGCCGCCACCGAGCGGGCGGGTCGCATGGGGAAGAGGGAGATGGAGCGAGGGGCGGCAGCTACACTCGGACACGCTTTACGAGTAATGTAGGTACAACGACCTGCATATTGCTGCTGCATAGAACGCAACGATCCCTCCGACATTTGCCTCTCAGGTACCGCCTGCCATGTGGTTCGACACATAGTCCTCGAACGAATCCTTTGGCCTAGCGCCATGTGGAAATGAGTTCATTTATTAGGGACACCTCACGTAGACATGATTTGCTTTTCCGTTGCCGACACTTTCGTTCTTGCTGAGCTGCAGTTCTTTCGCTATGTCTGCACGTGGTCCTTTCTTGTTTCTTGTTGCAAGAGCTATCGGCGCCCTTGGCAGCCCTGTCGCCATACGCGATGTCGCACCTGCTGCTGCTACGGTCTCTGCGGACTCTCCTGCAGGCGTTGCTCTTTTCCCCCAGGAGGCAGTTCAATTGACCGACAAGGTACTGAAGACGGCAGAGAGCCAAACCAGCGAGGTTGATGTGAATGCACTCTTTGGATTCGATAGCGGCAATGAGACAACGGCAATTTCAAAGCGTGCACTCAGCAGCGGTCAATGTAAAGCCTTTCCAGGTGATCCAAACTACCCGAAAGAGTGGGTATGGTCTATCTTCGACCTCTTACTCGGAGGAGCACTCATCAAGACCACTCCTATCGCCGCGCCTTGCTACAAGAAATCAGCCTGGGATAACTACGACGAGATGAAATGCGCAGACATATCAGCCAGATTTACTACAGCCGATCTCCAGTAAGTAAAACTCCACATGTAGCAAATATTACTGTTCACTAACCTTCATGATCAGCACGAGTGATCCAACCTCCATGATGTGGCCTCTCTTCCAGGGTCGTACATGCATGCCAACCGACGATCCCAGTGGTACCTGCACACTAGGTGGCTATGCCTCTTATTCCATTGATGTCGAGAACGTTGCCCAGGTGCAACTTGGCGTCAATTTTGTTCGCAACATGGACTTGAGGTTGACTGTTAAAAATACTGGCCATGGTAAGTGTCCCTTGTACGGATTGTATGTGAGACATATATTAACTTCACACGCTTACATTTAGACTATATTGGAAAGTCGTCTGGTGCTGGTGCTCTTAGCATATGGACACACAATCTTAAAGACATCCAGTTCATCAAGAACTACAAATCCACAAAGTACAACGGCCCAGCTTTCAAGGCTGGTGCCGGAGTCCAAGGGTTTGAAATCTTGGAAGCTGCTCGTGACCACGATGTAACTGTTCTGGCTGGTATCTGTGAGGTAGGTTTTGTAAAGGCATACAAGATATTAGGCGACCAATTACTAACGTTCAAATGTAGACAGTTGGATGGAGTGGCGGCTATGTCGCCGGAGGTGGCCACTCACCTCTCGCATCCATATACGGTATGGCTGCTGATCAAGTTCTCGCCTATGAGGTTGTCACCGCTGATGGACGCTTCGTGACTGCCTCTGAATCTGTCAACTCTGATCTCTTCTGGGCCCTTCGCGGCGGAGGAGGTGGGACTTTTGGCGTTGTTACGTCTGTCATCGCTAAAGCCCACCCCAGAATCCAGGTCACCAAGTCCGTCTTTTCATACCAGGCTCCGGTCAACGATTCCGAAAACTTCTGGAAGGGCGTCAACGCTTACATGAAGCGCTTCCCTGAGTTTACTAATGCCGGTACCTATTCGTACTTCTGGATCTGGAATTACGGCACCTCGCTCGATTTCCAGATGACTCCCTTCTTTGCGCCAAACCATACCATTGAGTCTTTCAATGCGCTGACTAAAGACTATTTCGATGACCTCAAGTCGTTCAATCTCTCGGTAACCCCAAACACTACTTACTATGAGGACTTTTACTCTGCCAACAAAGGATCATGGGGCGCAGATACTCTTGGTGTGACCAACATTCGTCAAGCTACCCGCCTTTTCCCAAAGAGTCTTTGGGAAACCGAAGCGAAGTTCAACTCTTTTTACACCACGATCAAGGACACAGTGATGAAGGGCCACACTGTCGGTGGCTACCATATGGCTCCAGGAAATCCCTCCAACGTCGACAATGCTGTCAATGAGGCGTGGCGTAACACCCAATCTTTCCTCATCACTGCCAATCTGGTTCCCGAAGATGCCACGGCAGCTCAGTTTGCAGAAGCTTCCGACTACCTTACCTACGACATCATGGACTCTTGGCGTGCGGTTGCTCCAGCTTCCGAGGGTGGCGGTGTGTACCTCAATGAGGCGGATATTCAAGAGCCAAACTGGCAAACCGACTTCTACGGCGCGAACCACTACCCTAAGCTCCTCGAGATTAAGAAGAAGTGGGATCCAAAGGGTGTGTTCTATGCTACCACAGCTGTTGGCAGTGAGAATTGGGTTGTCAAGGATGGCGATCAGGGCGCTCAAACTCAAAATGGTCGCTTATGCCGTGTATAGTTTCTTGTTTTGCGATGTTTCAGGGAGATTGTCCAAGAGAGCTTGTTACTGCTAGCCATGGTATCAGTGAACATGGAACTTTGTAGTCACCCTGCACCGTTCCTAAGATGCTCTATTCTTGCGTGAGGTGGTGTTCACTACCAACTGGGTACCCTGATTTTGATCTCCGTCTGTCTGACGTTGACTGTTCCGAGAGTCTCCAGAATGTTTGTGTCTAAGAGGTGTTAGTTTAGATCCTCTCACGTGATTCACATTCACTTATCAGCGCCCCCCTCCCACTATATATACCCAGGCTTCCTCCTACTTACATTAACCAACACTGCATCTCTTCTTGCTCTACAAGAGGGGCTCTCGTGAATAATGTTATTTTCGCCTCTTAACGCGTTGCACCCTCCCCACCCACTAGCGCAAAACAACAGACGCGTCGCAACACAACGTCACAAGCATGGGTTATCGACCGCGTTGTTAACCCCTTCCCGCCCAGCTCCGGTCTTTTGCTTTAAAGGCATCTCTCTAACGTCTTACCTTGTCTCGATTCCTGTTGACGAATATCGTTGTTAAACATCTTCCATACATCATCAGACGTTCTCAGAAAGATGGCGCCCGCGTCAGATCAGGGCGTACCGATCAGTAATGAAGCCAGGCTGCTTTTCGAGCTTGAAAACGGGCTGGTGACGGACAGTTGCGATGTTGTGCGGTATACAGGATTTTCTTTAGACGCAAATTGTTCACCTTACATCTCATTTACGTTGTGCGCGTCAAAGCGCAATAAATGTGTCGCGCAAGTACAGTATCTGATTCATCTGTAGGCGTAAGATACGCCTCTTGATTGATAACGGTGAGATGAAAGTCGGCGAGTTCCAGAAAGAGGCGAATATCACTCCCGATGCATATTCGCGTTTCATGAGCCAGCACGAGAAGGACAAGGGATCCAAATCTTCCGTATATCTGGTAGCGTGGGCATTTTTCAAGACGCGCGAGATCCAAGGCATCAAAACAACCCCGAACAAGAAGGCGAGGAGTAGCCAAGGACCCGCACAAAAAGATAGCGTACCCAGTATTGACGACATCGAGCTTGACGGCGAGAAGGACGATAAAGTGCCCTTATTCGGTGAGCTTCGTGACTTCACTACAAGAAAGCTATATACGGAGAATTTGGTGAATAGACACATGCGACGACGTCCGTAAGAAGATCAACGCGCACCTCAAAAAGCCCGGTGTAACACAGGCGGTAAGTTGTAACTGTACGAAACGCATGTGAGACATACACTAACTTCGTATCCTCACATATGTAGGCATTCCTTCGCGCAGCCTCCACATCCTTCCACAATCCGCCCAAGACCCTCAACGCCCGCGAACTATCTGCTTTCCGCAGCAAGAAGGGAGCATTGAACGGCAATACGTCTGGTGTGTTTTACGGTGCTTATGTCTACTTTGAGAAACTGCGTATCGAAGAAGGCAAGCCCAAGAGCAAGAAGAGGCAAGAAATGGGAGAGATACATGCCAAAGATGGCGGTTTGGATACGAAGCGCATGCAAGACAGGCTCCTGACATTGGCGGGGGATCATTGGCACCATGACGCTTACGGGAGGACCATTCTCAACGGAGAGGTTCTGCTTTGAGAGCGTAGAGGAACAGGTGCTTTGCTCGCTAATGTATTTGTTCGATATGCCGCAGTAACAGACTGGTATGTACATGACGCCCAGCGTGTGTGGGTGTCGGATGAAGCTCAACGCCATGAACGCCGATGCTTGAATGTGTGAAGTCGCCGCGGTAGTATAAAGCGATCATAACGTTGCTGCTGCCTCAACAGCTCCAGCGAGCTTGAATGTCTTGGGACTCGAAAAGACGACTTCGACAGGGTACTTCCATTCCATGAATTTGGCCCATCCTAGAAATTCGTTAGCAACCTGCAATGCATCCGTCCTCGTGGATATGGAAGATGACGTACCCCAGTAAGCAGCCTTTCTGCCAAAGTATTTGCCCAGATATGGCACCATGACCATGGTCAACAATAGCTCCAGTTGTTGCAACGACTCTTTCCATTCCCGATCTGCATCCGACATATACTCTTCTTCGTCGGCTTCGGAGCTCGTTGCGGAGGACGGTAATGAATCGATGTCGTCGGGAGAGTCTGGCTCTACGAAGCTCTCGCTGTTGCTCATCGACATGGCGACGACGGTGTTGGGCGAACGAGAAGGAGGATAGACGTATGGCTCGCTCGGCAGGCTAACGTAGCAGCATCGGCGGAAGGAATAGGGTCGCGACAGTAGATGGAGTAGACGCGTTCGGCCATGCAGTTGGAGCGCTACAGCCAATGAGCGGAGGTGGGGCTTAGCGGCAGCCGGCACGTGACGCAAATCTTGGCTCAGAGCGTTCGACTCACACATGTGTTGCGGCGAACTTTAAGGTGACGGCTCGCCCTACTCTTCGACCCACCACCCCTACATAATACAACCTACTCCGAATCCGTAGCACTACACTGCGACTGCTCCACTGAAGATCGAAACCCAGACTACAACCGCAATCATGGCTGACACTGTACGTCATTCAACCCCACGTTCGCTGTCGAAATATCCTGTGCACGAGTGGTGGGCAACCTGCATGCCAGCTGCCTAGCTTTCACTTTTCTGCATCTCCTACAAACAGTGACGTGCTAACGGATCTCTGTAAAGGCCGATCTCCCTGACCGCAAACCCCGCAAGTCTGTCCAATTCTCCGAAGGTGCCACGATTGTCGACAGCAACGGCGACGTTACAGAGTCACTAGAGATGAACGGCGGCAAGGACTCTGCCGAGGGCCACTCCTCAGGTGGTGGTAAGATAGCCCACATACTGGCAACAGATCAGTCGCTGACAACAATGGCTGTAGGCGACGACAAAGAGGTTGAAGAGGTTACCGATATGTTCGCTGATCTGGCAAAGAAGGTGAGGGCGCAAAAAGCAATGGTACTGTTAAAAGACCACTGACGGAACCACAGAAGAAGAAGAAGTCGAGCAAGAAGAAGGAAGGCGAGGACGAGGACGGCGCAGAGGGCGACTTTGCTGCACTGAAGAAAAAGAAGAAGTCTAGCAAGAAGAAGGTCGAAGACGACTTCGAGGCCAAGCTCGCTGCCGCCGGCGGAGACAAGCCCGAAGGCGAGGAGGAGGTCGCTGCCCCCGAACCCGAAGTACAGGAGGGCGACATGATGAAGGGCACCGGCATCTGGCAACACGACTCGACGACTCCCATCTCGTACAACCTCCTCCTGAACCGCTTCTTCACGCTCCTCCACGCGCAACATCCCGACCTCGCCAGCTCCGGCACAAAGAGCTACAAGATCCCGCCCCCACAGTGTATGCGCGAAGGCAACAAGAAGACTGTTTTCGCCAATCTTGCCGAGATCTGCAAGCGCATGAAGCGTTCCGACGAGCACGTTGCCCAGTTCCTGTTCGCCGAACTGGGTACGAGCGGTTCGTTTGCCGACCAGAAGCGTTTGGTAATCAAGGGTCGCTTCCAGCAGAAGCAACTTGAGAACGTCCTGAGACGGTACATTGTCGAATACGTGACATGCAAGACCTGCCGCTCGCCCGACACGGACCTATCCAAGGGTGAGAACCGTCTCAACTTCGTGACTTGCAACAGTTGCGGATCAAGGCGTTCAGTACAGGCCATCAAGACTGGTTTCTCTGCTCAGATCGGAAAGAGGCGGAGAATGGTGGGCTAGAGGGTTTGTGTTATGCGCTTTACGATATTCAATGTTATGCATGGCTTGGGCTGGGTTTTCTCGATAAGCGGGCGCTACGGCTGTTGCTGTTATGACGCTTGTTCGGCGGATGAGAACGGTCATGATCATGATGGATTCAGAGCAATGTCTGCGGGATAGTTCACGTATATTTGGGATGAGTCAAAAAGGATACAGTATGATAGAGGTCAAAAGAAACATGCTCATTACGTGTTGTGTGCCGTTTGGTAACTTGGTGCAGACGCTGGCAGATGACATGCAGACTAGCATTTGTCATTTGAGATGATCGTGGGCGCTTGCATGCCGTTCCCAACTCGGACCCTGATAGCTTGCGGTGCGTCCCGGAGCTCCCCTGCGTCGTGGATGCATGCAAGCATGTTTGCTTCCGTTGCTTTCCCATGCCCTCCCCATTAAAGATAGCTCCCCGCGCATAAACCACTTTATGCTATTCTCTTGCTCACCCGTCGCACAGCCTTGGCACAGCTCAGAGCGACAGTTGCGGGGCGCTGATTCGGCGGCTCGAGGCACCCCGCTAGCCAACAGCTGCGCGCTGGAGGCTGAGCAGCTTGACCAAGGAAGACACCAACGGGGGCGCGCGGTTAAAACGTCTATACTGCATGTGGTGCTGATGCTTCCGTAGACTAAATCAATTCCTTCTCCGCTCTCCTTCCCCCTCTCGTCCTGTAGTTGTGCGCGTGCGTGTACTGCTAACATCAACTCCTGCGTCGTCTTCCGGGTGACTACCATAGTCGCGTCGACTTGGTCTCTGCAGAATTGGGAGCTTGAGCATGTCGGGATATCAGGGAACGCCACCGCCAGGTGGGAACTACTACCCTCGTGAGTCGCATATCGCAGTACATGGGGAGGTCAACTGACACAATACAGCTCCGCCAGGTACATGCCGCCCCCTCTCGTATTCCTCTCACCAAACGTCGATTGTTTGCTCACTTAGCTCCTCATACCACAAGACTTGCACCCCTGAACAGCAACCTAACGCATACCAGACCAACAGCCCCAACAGCAGTACTTTGCCCCTCCTCCAGGAGGCCAATCCTACCCACCACCGCCCACATCCCCTCCCGCACACCAACAACAACACTATCCCCCTCCACCGGGCAGTAACCCCAACCCACAGCCACAGTATGCGCCGCCGCCTGAGAAACAACAGTATGCGCCACCACCCGAACAACAGCACTTCCCACCACCGGGCCAAGCACAATCGCCGCCCCCTCATCAGCAGCATCCACAACATCAGCAGCAGCCGATGAGCCCTGGCTTCGGTGGATTTCCTGGTGGAAGTCCAAGTGCAAGCCCATACCGGGACGAGCAGTCAGGATATCCTGCCGAAAAGACAGGACATCCGGGTATGGGACAGTCGCAACCGAGCCAACAGACCATACCACAGCAACCGCAGTACGTAGGCCAAGCAGCGCATACCGGCCCTGCAAGTGCCTCAGCAGATGATGTAGGAACCTTCAATGGAGGAAGTTATCGTGTGAGCCATCGGGACACAAATTCGATCCTCACAGTGCAATTAGCGATCGGATGTCCGTTTACCGCGAAACCTGGTACGTCTTGCAGCACATGTTCCATATCTAGCCGTTACACTGCGCAAGAAAAACAGAAGAACCACTGTCTAACAGATGAAATCAGGTGCAATGATAGCAATGTCCCCCACCATGACGCTGAAAGGTAACCTGAAATTCTCCCTTAAGAAAGCACTCATCGGTGGTGACATGAGCAAATCTACATACGCCGGCCCCGGTGAACTACTCCTCGCTCCTTCCTCTATAGGCGACATCACCATCATCAAGCTTGGTGGAAAGGAACAGTGGTCGGTGGGCCGCGACGCCTTTCTAGCCTGTACACAGGGTATCGTAACCGAGTACAAGAGCCAGGGCATTGGAAAAGCCATGTTCAGTGGTGAAGGACTGTTCGTATACAAGATCAGTGGTACGGGTGTGCTTTGGGTTACGAGCTTTGGTGCGATCATTAGGAAAGATGTAAGCTCCATCCTTGGATACCTTCCCATGCTAGGTTCTATGGTTCGTTAACGTTATCTCAATTTAGCTCGCAGCCAACGAGAAGTACATCATCGATAACGGACATCTGGTCGCATGGAACTGCAAATACGTACTCGAGCGTGTTGCTAGCGGGGGTATCATCAGTAACATGACGGCGGGCGAGGGGCTCGTGTGCAAGTTCACGGGACCAGGGACCGTGTTCATGCAGACAAGGAACGCGGCAGCGTTTGGGCAGTGGTTAGCTGCCAATGCTGCGGCTCCGTAGTCGCAATTTCACACGACAAAGGTCTGGATAGTAGAGAAGAATGAGTGATACCATTACCACAACTAATGATCTAGCGACATAGGAGTGAACCAGCCTCCATTTCAGCACAGCCAAATTCTGCATCCCCTCCACCCTCTGAACAGTCCCAAACCTCTTCTTTCCCTGATCGAAAATCGCATAAACGCCCTTAAGCCACGTATCCCCGAAAATATCAAACTCACTCTTTCCACGTAATTGTATCCCCCCGTACTGCATGCCCGCCCCACATTTCGCAAATCCAAAATCTTTTTTTTTGTACTTCAAATTCCTTGTCACCCACTGCAAGTGCCAGAGTAGGAAGATCAGAGATTCTTGTTCCGATGGGGAAGGTCCAACCTTGATGCGCTTTATCGTACACAGCGCCTGGGATAGTGCTGTATATCTTCTCGCAGAGTGCGTCGTCAACAAGGGCCAGTGTAGTTCCTGTATCGGCGATTGCAGTATTTCCGGGGGGTCGTTGGATAGTCTCGCCGTTGAGGGTAGCAGTTGGGGAAGAGAACTGCCATAAGCCTTTTGATGGATCGATGGGCGCATAGTGTGGTTCTGAGACGCCGCAGCGCGAGAGGACTTGTTCGTCAATGTAGCCGAACGTATAGAGGGATTCGCCATGGTCGACGTCGTTTTCACCGCGCCAGGAGCCAAGATAACAAGTGAAGAGCTCTTGGGAGGAGGGGATGTCGGATTGGAGAATCATCTAGGGGTGTGGTGAGTCTCCAGTAGGGAAAACGAGGTCAGCATAGATAAACTGACCTGCTCTACGGGTGGGGCGACTTTCTTTGGTTTGACGGTGTTGATATGACCGAATTCCAGACCTAGCAGCCCGTCGCCTGCACCAGAAGTGAACTGCGGGCTGAGTTTACTCGCAAGTTCGATGGCCTGGCTCTCGATACAGAGACCACCAAGGGTAACATTGTCCGTACCGACGATCCCAGAAGCCGTAGATCCTATCAAAGCAGTTATTCGGCTAGATTTTTCCCAAGATGAACACACGGAGAGCAGTGAAGGAAATCACTAAAGAGAGTAACATAACTTACCATCACCGTACCTAATCCTCCAGCTCGCCCCATTCATCTTCTTGAACGTCTTGCTAGCCTTCGCATCAAAAACATTATGTTTGCTCTTAATCCCGGCCACCTTGGTCTCCCTATCCAACTCCGTAGACCACAACCAAAGATCTGAGCTGCCCGTATCGGAATGCAAGTTCATGATTTGGGGCGGCGTTCCAATCTCGACAGGATAAATGTAAAGCGCGTCGTTCTGTTGATCTTCTGCTTTGACTTCGCCTGTTTTGTCGTCTTCCACCTTTCGCAACACGGGTGTAGTGGCTTTCTTGTCTTTACGTTTGAAGAAGTTCTTCAAGTTCTTGGTTGCGACGCCAACCATTTGGAAAGGGCCTTCGGTTGTGAGTGCGAAGTCATATTTTTTTTCAGGATGCTGGCATACTGTTTCATACCTGCGCGTTCGCAAGCTAGGTTGGGGACGATGGAGATACGTTTTAGATTTGACATTGCTGTAAAGAGGGAGACCAGGTCTGAGTGCTCGATTTAGTGTTGATAAGAATTGATACAGATGGTCTAACACTGCGGTGAGTAGGGTAGCGCGATAGCTGCTATCAGAGCGTGACCATAGTATCAGGGTATTGAGAGCGACAAAAGGCGTAGGTAGAAGGAGACTTTAATACGTGTAACCATGCGCCTCCCAGTCTTGTAACACGCAGCGAGATACCTGCCGTACATAGCGACTAGCTCTTACTTGTGGGGTATCCTATATGTTTGGCCTGACTACAAAGTATACTCTCATTCAAAGGTAGTCTTCCTCCCTTGCGATTCCACAATAGCTTGACTTGCTCTCGGCGCATTCGAATGCGCTGCACCACTCTTGATGGTTCTCGGATCAACCTTGCGCTTGAAATCCCGTCCGCCATTGCCCTCTCCTCTATCTTGCCTGCTTCCCATATCATCTCTACCTCCTCTGCCACCTCTGCCACCACCTCTGCCACCACCTCTGCCTCTTCTTTGATCTCCGTCGTTGCCAAAATTCTTCCATCGGTCGGGATTGACTCCGTCCACAGGCTCGGCCTTGCCAAAACGTTTATCATACCTCGTTTTCGCGTCCTCGGCAAATTCACGACGCAACTCTCTGCCCATCAGTTTGTTGACTAGCCATTTCCTTTGCTTTACGGGTTTATTGGCGTCCTCTTCGTCACTGCTCTCATCCCTGTCCTTTTTGCTCTTGAACGCAGATGGATCTTTGAATACGAAGCCTTTGACCGCTGCCGTTGCGGCTTCCACGTCGCCGAAAGTAACCCAAGCATATCCCTTGCACTTGCCTGAATCTTCAAATGTTGCCATATGAATGTTATCGATCGCTCCACATGGGGCATAGTGTGCCTCAAGGTCTTCCTTTGTAACATCGAAGGAAAGGTTGCCCACGAAAATGCGCTTGTTCGGAGGATGGACTGGTTTAGCACCCTTGCCCCCACGGGTATCTTGAGTCTCCTCTGTTTTGGGCTTGTCTGGGCGTCCGTCAAAGCTCTTCGCGTTCTTGATGAGTAGGGCGCGTCCATCCATCTTCGTCTCTGTCAAAGCAATCGCTGAGTACATTGCCAGCTCTGTAGAGAAATCCACATATGCAAAGCCTTTGTTCATGGGCTTGGTGGTCCAATTGGCGGGAGTCGGCTTTGTCGGTGGGGGCATGTGGACGCGTGTTATTTGCTCACTCGCAATCTCAGTATTATCGGTCAAGAACTTTCGCAGTGTCTCCCTGGTGGCAGACCATGGCAGGTTGCCAATCCAGACGCCATATGCTGAGCGCTGTGCAGCCGTGTCCTTATCCTCTCTCGCCGCCCCGTCTATCTTCGCAACCGCTTCTGGTCCATCTACGTCGGCGGCGGGTGTCGGGTTCAGTTTCGCCTTCTTTGCTTTACGAGCGGCCTTCTTTGACGCGGGTTCGGGAAGACTGATGTCGATCTCGAGCTCTTCGGGAAGTATCTCACGTTTGCGCTTTTTCGCTGGTGTCTCCGCTTCATCTTCGGTGGCATCGGCCTGCGCAACCTCAGCGTTCGATTCTGTCCTCGAGCCCTTCTTCTCTTTCTTCTCCTTTTTCTCCTTCTTCTTTTCGCGGCGCTCCTCCTTTGAAGCGACGGCGACTTCGTCGGCAGAAAGCATCTCAGTATCTTTCGACATTGTAGCGTGGGTGATGTTGCGTATCGATTCTTTAGGTCTCTAACTTTTTTCTGGGGCACTTTTTCGCTAGTAGGTCCGCGCTAGAAGACCCTGGCTTAGTCATGTTCCAAGAAGAACACCAGATTTCTGCTCCACAGTCGGATCTCTTTGGCCATGAACGATAATAGCATCACGAAGTCACAAGCAAATATACGTTCAACAAGACTCCAATAGATTTACTACACATATGGAAGTTATTTAGAAAGTAAGGAAAGATCAAATTGAGCCAAGGTAGGAGAGCCGTAACCGAGCCAGAGGCAATATAGAACCCCACTGGCATGTCCCGTCGAGGTGTATTGAAGCGCGCGCCAGCGCCTTCCGTGTAGGGAGTGTTGAGTTGTTCCATGTTTCCCCAATTGCACTCCTTTAGACGCCCCCATAACCCAGAAATCCGAACCCTATAAACAATGATCTGGAGCACTCCGCTTACCTTTATGCTTACGAAGAATGTAGCTCGTCAACAGCCGTGCTCGATCTGCTTACGGCATCTCCTCATCGCTAGCATCGAGGATGTCGTATTCCTCGTCGGTCATGAAACCGTCATCGGACATTAGTGCAACACTTTCGGCATCCTCGAAAAACTCGTCATCCGAAGCGACGGTGACGGTACGAGCGACTGTACTCTTCTCAGACGAGGGAGACATGGGCTGAGCAGTAGTAGAAGACTCATAGGTGCTCGACTCAGGGGACTCTTTGTCTAGCTGAGGGAAAATCATACCGGAAGCGAGAGGCTCAGATGAGCGCTGCTTCTCCTCAACGGGGAGTTCAGCGACTGGCTCCTCAGGCTTGATCTCAGCCTTGGATGGAACAATCGGCTCCTGGTTGATTGTGGCAAGAGCAGCTTCGTGTTCCTTGCGGCGGTTTGTTTCCTCATGAACCTTACGACGGCCCTCTAGAAGACGCTCCATAGCAGCCTTGCGCACACGCTGGACACGCTCCATCTTCTGTTGGTCCAGTTGTTGTTGCAAAGAGTGGTGCGCATCCTTCATCTTCTGCAGGTTCATTTGCTGTTGCTGAGAGTGTTGTACATGCTTCATCCTCTCAGCTCTAGCTTGTAGGAGGCGCTCGTAAAGAGGATTCGATCGAGGGGCAACCTCAAACGTGGTAGCTGAGCCTGGGGTAGGAGTAGGGACGCTCTGGACTGGCGCAGGAGGAATCGCTGGCTGGGCGACCACAGGGGAGGGCACGCCAACGACGGCAATATCACACCACAGACGATGACCGAAGGGCATACCTTCAGGGGTCTTCAAGCGCCAGTAAGAGATAGCAGTGCCCTCACGTTTGGGTGCCTTCATAAGAACACGGAACTGAGCCTCCTCGCCGGCCTCGACGGTATGTCCGAGTATGTTGCTTTCGCTGGCCTCTGCGAGATCAGTGTGGCTCAAGGGACGCGTGTTGTCGATGTTGAGCATGTTGTCGCCACCAACGTGTCGTACACTGCATCCTCGTGGCCAGGCGTTAGGGCCTGGGTTGCGCAGAGTCCATACTTGAACAAACTGGTGGCCTGCACAGATCTTGGAACCGTCAATGATGGTATCTCGAATGAAGTGTGCGTCAAGGCCCTCGGTAGCGGTATCCGATCTGGCAATGGAGATAGCTTCCGACTTGATGGGCACCGTAGGCTGGATAGGCTGAACAGGCTTCTCTTGCACTGGCTCTACAGAGTCGACGAGCAGATCACGAATAGCGATCTTCTCCTTCTTGACTTGAGGCTCTGCTGAGGGCTTCATGTCAACAATGGTCTGGACCTGAGTCGCAGCGTTGGTAGAAGGAGCGACAGGGGTAGTCTCAGTCGAGGTAGACCGCCTGTCAGCAATGCGATCACCAAGCCTAGCAACGGACTTGCGCTGCTTATCATCGTTGAGAGTCGTGACGCTAACGCTGCGCACAGGTGTTTGGAACTTGATGAGTGGATGAGTGTGGTTGTGCTTGTTGCTGGGATGAGCTTCGCAGTTTTGGCAGAAGTCGGTGTCGTGACAGACTGCACACTTGTAGCGAATGCCGTCAATGTATGACAGGTTCTCCTTATCCTTGCAGAGAGGACCGTCACAGTAGATACCGTAGTGGCGGTTGGCGGTGTTCATGGGCTCAGCCAAAGGCTCATAGATAGGTACGAAGCGGTGACGGGGGTGAATGAACTTGGCGTTCTTGAGACAGTCAGAGCAGTAATCCCAGTCTGGGCAATTCAGGCACTTGTGGCGGACACCGTAAATGAACTTGTCGCAGCCATCGCAGACAGCGTTGTGACGAACATTCCTGCCGGAATTGCACAGGAAATCCGCCAGAGTAGGAAGCACAGTCTCGGATGTGGCAGGCTTGAAGGTATGGCCAGGATGGTGGCCATGCTTATTGCTAACATGGCAAGTCAAGCAAAGGTCGTAATCATCACAGGGGATGCAGGTGACGAACTCCTTCTCGGGGAGCACGGTGACACAGCAGTTACAGGTGCGAGTGGGCTCCTGTTCGTAGGTAACAGACTGCTTCTCATCGGTGAAAGCTCCCGGAATATCCTGCTGTTGGGGCTCCTCGACCTTGACTTTGGGTGCGATGCGCTGGGTAGTGCTGTTGACGACACTGCCATTCTTGACGAAGCGCTTGACCATCCAGTGTCCGCTTCCGGGGCAGTGAACACCGTTGTCGACACAAGCAGGGCAAAGATCGTAATCGCCACCATCGCATACGCTGCAATGGAAGTGCTCGTCCTCCATGGGCTCGTTGCAGTTGTTGCAATAGACAACCCACGAGGTGCATACATTGCTCGTCTTCGGGCGGAACGCAAGACCCGAGTTATAGTTGGCAGTTGCAAGGTTGTTGAAGAAGTCTGTTATGGGTGTTAGCGAAGTGTTGTACGGCAAATCACGTTCGCGTTGGTGCTTACTCTGACGGGCAATGAAGGCCTGCGGTACAGGAGCCTCGCCGTCAGCATCTGCCGTCTTTGGTGGCGACACAGGACTGATGGACTCCTTCTTTTCCATGTCCGGCGAGCGGGCAATTACCGGAGAAACAGGTGCATTGCCCTGTGGAGTGAGGGTATCTGAGCTCATGCGGTGAACAGATGGCGCGTAGCCTGGAAGCGTATGTGGCGGCATCGGCGCGGGTGCGGGCGCAGGTACGGGCTCTTCACCAGGAACGGTAGCTCTCAAACGCAGCTTGAGTTTCGCCTTTGCGGCCCGGAAGAGCGTCTTGTAAACCTGGGGTTTGTCGGCGTCGAGGATGACATACGAGGCGGCGGAGTCGGAGTAGCGCTCGAAGACGACCTGCTCGCCAGCCTCAAGCTGGAGGATGCTTCGGAGCTAAACATGGGAGATCAAGTTAGTATCGTCCTACTTGAGCGCGTTTGGTCGTATATCCAGGCGACCGAGCCGATCGCCTGAGCATGATAACCTGTGGTAACGAGCAACTACGGACCTTGTCGGGCAGCACATGGGCTCCAAGATCCTTCAGAGGCAGCTTGAACTTCTTTGTCTGGCCGCGGAACAGGACCTTGACCACGATAGGCGTGTCCAGAGTCACGGGGACGTTGTTAGTCGCCGCCATGATGGGCGAGTGAGGCTGGCGATGAGGGTGAGAGTAGTAGTCAGAGCGACTGCAGCTAGCTTGCCGCCGCTGTAAGGAAGATGAAGAGGTGCAGCAACTTGAGTGTTGATGTTGCTGTCGAGGCTGGTTGATGGAGTTGAGTTGAAGGCGGAGGTGGAGCAGGTGAGACGGCGGAGCAGCTGGAGGTGTAATGGTAGCTGCCTAAGAAGTGGGGTCAGTGCGTTAGTGGACGCCGGGGCGCGCGCCAACCTTCTCGTACACCGGATTTCCAATGCTCGCGTCGCAGCGAGAGCGAAAGGCAGACGTTGGCTTTGTAGTTAGGTTCACTTGTGGGCTGAGGGACTGATGGACCGTCTGGCTTGTGGCAAGGTACTCTCGACTGCTATCGCTCGCGTTTGGCGGCTTAGAGTTGGCTGGCTTCTACCCTTGGAGTTGGGCAGTGGTCCGCTACCACGAAAGGCAGCAAGACACGTCGTCAGCCGGTGAGGAGCCGCGAGAACTCCGCCGATTACTATCACTCTTACCCGCCTATGCAACATCCAAGAAGGCTATTGCTCAAGATGATGACGTGATGGTCCGGCTGCACGTGATGATGAAGCACCGTGGGCCAGGTGATCATCCATGATAACGTTTCACAAATGCGATAAGAGGCCGCTAGCATGACGGCTCCCGGACAGCTCGACAACGGCCGAAAGAGGCCGGCGTGTCTTGTTTCGCCTCACTAAACATGTGGAAAGACACAACACCCCATGTATCGCATATCTTTCCCGCTCAAGGGTTTGATGCATCTGCCGAGTCTACCATTGGTCGCTCTGTTTTTCAGCCTCAATCCATGGCCAAGAGCGGCCACTGCGAGGCGCTTGTATGCGCACGCTCAATTCCTTTCGACATGTTGCGAACACCGAAATCTGTCTCATAGATGTTAATTGCGAAGTTGTATCATGTGCTAGCAATGGCCCCAAAGTATATGTTTTGGTGTAAACTTGGAAGGCGAATGGTACACTTCAAGATATCACCAAACTCCACAGACTCTGTCGAACACTAATGGAACTTATGCATTACTCTATTCACGGCAACGATTCGTCTCGATACTTTACATTCGGCACTTCTGCGGTGGCCAAAGAAATAGGCGAGTGAGACTCCGATAATTATTACAAAACGCAAGTAAGGGAGCCCTTTAGCTAAGACGCGTTTCTGAAGTGCTTCCGAAGGCAGACGTAATTGCAATCAGAACAGGTTTTCCATAGAATTTTAAGCCTGACGTGAGACGGGTCTCTACAAGGCAAACACCGTGTATACAGATCCTGATTCCCAGGGTATCAATCATGTCCACCCTTCAACCCGCTCCCATTCCCATTGCCACTCCCATGTCTCAACCCCACCTACTTCCTCCCTTCAACCATGATGATATGATATCCCTCGCTCGTCTTCACCTCGCCAATCTTCGGGCTACCAGTTGTACTAGGCTCCAACTCATATGCTACCTTCTCGAAGTCCTGCATCAAGCTCCCTCTGACTTTCCAACCTAGGCTGCCACCTTGTCTCGCTTTGTCCTCACTCATTTCCCTGGCCACTTCGTCAAATTTTGCGCCGTTGCGCAGCTTCTCCAATGCTTCTTCCTTCTTAGAGTGCTTTTCGCAGAGTATGTGGCGTACGTTTATTGAAGTTGCTGGTTTGAGTTTTCCGCCTGAGCCTTTTCCCCCTTCACTTTTACTGTTACTGCTCTCGTCTTTGTCTTTTCCCTTGCCCTTGTTTTTAGGCGCCATCTTGGGATAGCGATGCGCGAACGAGGCTGCAGTGGTTTTGGAGACGTTGCAGTTACGATTGATACGTTGATCAAATGTTTTTGTAAGCAAGGTCTGGATTCGTGGAAATCGTATCGGTGATCTATCGTCTAGGTGAGTTTGCAATGTGGTAAAGTTATGCGCATGGGAGGCTTAAATTGGTGAAAGTGTACCGGAGCTCTGAGCTCTGCTGCGGGGCCCGATGCATCGGAGTGGGGTGGCGGCTATTTATGACAAGGATAACCTGGGCTGGACACGAGAACGGAAGCACGGTGCACTTGTATGCGATTGACCAGTTCCATTATACTTAGATTGTATTGCTTTCGTGATTATGCACATGAATCCTCATTCCTTGAGCTGCTAAGCTCGTCATGCCTTGCTATCTACTTCCGCCAAACACTACATAAGATATTGGCCGGTGTAGCTTCCCCACAGATGCTGCTGTCCCTTGCAGTGCATAATACGGCGGAGCGCGGCGCGGCGATGTGGGCTTTATCTAATCGGAGTAATTATACAATTCAGGGAGCCCTGATGCCCTCGCTACTTCATCCGTTACCATTGACGATTGCTCGAGGCGCCGTTCCATTAATACCGTTCTGTGCGAGTACAATATCCATGAAACTTTTCCGAGGCTTCTGCTTCTTCTCCGGCTGTTCGTCGTTGTCTGCTAGCTGTATTCGCCGTCTTTTACACTCAGCGCGCATCTCGTGGAGTAGCGGTCGAAGGCTATCGACTTTCTCGACTTCGTCGTAAAGATGCGATTCTTCCACCCAATACAGGCCTTCCATGGCTGAAAACTGATTCTTGGCTTCTTTGATGCTGTCCTGGATCTTGGCGTAATCGAAATCCGGAGCGCCTTCCATGGGGAAACGGAAATCCTGGGCTAGGAGGGCCACGTCGTATTGACGGAGGATGGCATCTCGTTGAGCGCGGCTCACGGGAATACGAGACCAATCAGAATAAGGAGTGCTGAGGTATGCTAGATCAAGTTCTGGAAGTCCAAGTATGCCAACAGCCTGGAAGGAACAAATGTATGTTCTGTTTGGTATGGCCTGCGAGTTGCAGAGATCCTCCGCAGCCGCATAAAACAGTGGCAGGAAGACAGCCGATACGCCGAGTTCTTCGCCAGAGAAATGAAGCGGTCGATTTGTGCCTAACTCGCAGGCGCGCCGTAAGGCACGTGGGAGCTTGGAGATACGATCCTGACGTGCTAGCAATCCCTTCTGGCGTTTCTCTTCCTGATCTGCTCGACGCTGGGTTTCCTGCTCTTCTCGTATACGTGCTGCCTCGGCTTCTTCTGCCTGGCGCTTAATTTCGGCTTCTGCTTCGGCCTTCTTCTTTGCTTCCTCGATCTCTTGAGTCTTACGAGCTGCCTCTTCTTCTTCCTTCCTTTTTGCTTCAGCTTCGGCCGCAGCTTCGGCGGCTTTGCGTTTTGCTTCTGCATGCAGCTTTTGTTCCTCTTGGCGACGTGCGCGTTCAACTTCCGGGGTCGCTATTCTTTCAGGAGGCACGGGCGTAGACTTGGCAGATGCTGTCGGTGTTCTCTTCATGCTGACATCATCTGTTGACGCATCAGATAACTTTCTTTTCCTGATTTTGTCTTCGACAGTCTTGTATTTGATCTTGTTCTTTACGACTTTGCGTTCATCTGGAGAATCAATCTCAGGCGTTGGTTTGGCACTGTGAGGTCTGGCTGGTTTGGTGCGAATCTTGGCTGGATGCTTCGTAGCATGATCCTCGTCACTCTCGTCTGAATGTGCTCGATCTGCTTGTTTAGATTCGTTGTCATCCGACCGTACTTTCGCTGGTTTCTTGACTGGCTTCGCCTCTTCGCCTTCGCTATAAGATCGCTGCTTGATCTTTCGGGTGGGCGGTCGTACGTCTTCTTCGCTCTCTTCTTCTGATGAATCGTCGGACACAACTCGCTTTCTTCTCTGATCCTCCCTAGTTGCCTTCTCTTTCCCAGACATTAATCGCCGGGACTTTTGGGGAGCAGCGGGCACCGTCGTCGGTTTTGCCAGATGCGCACGTTTCGACTCAACACGTGGAGAAGACGATCGTTCTCTTCGTGGCGACGCCTTTCTCTTCATGCGATTGGCAGAAGCGTTTGGCGCTTCTCTCTTGACTCTTCGAGGGCTCCGGTGCGTTCCTTGATACTCTTCACAGGCGCGCTTCAGCATGTCCCTCTCTTCCTCCCATTTCGGGCCATGGCGCTCCTCGGAGATTTCGTAGTACGTCTTGTTCTCTTTGTTTCGGCGAGTGGGGTTGAAATTGTCTTGTTCGAGAAGCAGTTGTATGATCTTGAGATATCCTCGCCCTATAGCCACTGTCATGGGCGTTTCTGGGTGCTTGGACGGGTCAGGATCAGCCTTGAGGCCACTCGCTAAGAGGATACTGAGAATGTCGTAATGTCCACCTCTTGCCGCTGCAACGCCACACGTAATGTTCGGCTTGATGTTACTATTGATCAACTCTCCTACTGCAAGGATATCGCCGTCACCGGCTTTTTCGATCAGGGTTTCCACATTAAACTCGTTGTACAACAAGCGCGATGCGGTCTTGGCCTGCTTCTGGGTACGCTCGTGGTCGTTGGTAGATGTGTCTACCCGCCTCCTCATCGCTTCCCTGAGTTCCTTCTCAATCTCTTCTGCATCTTCATCTTCTTGATCCAGCACATCGATTGCACGCTGCCCCTTCTTGTTCGAGTGGTGTGGATTGACCTGGCCCTCGTTGAGAAGCAATCTGACTACGTCCAGGTGTGAGTTCTCCACTGCATCGATGAGGGGGGTGTCCCGATCGTGACTCTCGCAGTCTGTACGGCAGCCTTTGCTAATCAGATACCGAACGACAGGTGCCCAGCCATGCAACGAGGCCTTTTGTAATGGAGCGATACCAGCGTAATCCGGTTGATTTAGCTCATCGGGAGCTTCTTCAAAGGCTTCCTTGACTGCATCAAGGTCGCCCTTTTCACTTTCTCGAGCGAGTCGCGTAGCGCCAAATCTATCGACCTTTCGCTGTGGCATGGTGCGTGCGGGTGAGGTCAGCGCACGATGCGTGGAGCGCTTTACTCGGGCGTGTTGCAGATGTGGTGCGGAAGTAGGCTGTGGTGATGTTGAATGATCTGAACTCGATCCCGACCAATGCTCTTCTGTTGACAGAGCGAGGTTGGTGACCTCGCGGCGCTTGCGGCCCGCGATGCCTGTGACGGCGGATTGAGTCGATTGCGAACGCTTGTGTGGACGGCCAAACCCCGGTGTGCCAGGCGAGTTGGGTGGGCGCGCGTCTTTCAAACCCTCGGTCCTTGCTTTTTGTCGCGGTGGTTCGAAGGCTTTGGGGAACGAGTCATCGCGCAGCTTGCGCTTGCGATTTTCGACTGTCGACGCGCTGCGGCCGCGGGTGGTGGTGTGTGTGGGAGAAAGGGCGGACCGGACAGGCGATTTGGCCGAGTCATTTGGGCTGGTGTCCTTGGTGTGTCGCGAGGCAGTGCGGCTGCTGGGTGAAGTAGGAACTGGGCTCTTTGCATCACGCTCAGAAGCGTGCTTGACGCCATTGACCTTGACATGATTGCCGTTGCTCGAGCGGCGACGGCCGTTGGGATGGGGTGAATGCGCCCGCGACTCTTCCTTGATGGAGCGCAGCCGTGATGCATCATCGTTGTTCTCGTCGTCGTCGATGCGCTCCGTCTTGATCACCTTGTTCTCGACGGGGTCCTCGTCCCGTGACAGGACGACTGTCTCGGCCTCAGATTCGCCTTCGGCATCCTGGTCTTCGTCGTGGGCATGTTGGGATGGAAAAGCGGCAACCTTGGGTGCCGGGCGTGGAGAGGGCGGACTGTGGGGACGGTCGTGGTGAAAGGGCTTTGGGGCAGAGGGTGCGTTTAGGACCGGATCGGCATTACTGGTCATTACGCTGGGACAGGACACTCGAGTTCCTGCCTCATGCTGGCTTGCAGAGCAAGGGACGGAAGGTGCACAGCGGAGGCCTTTGCAGCACGATAGGTGCGGGCGGCAACAACAGGGCGCTTGGCTGTTGGAAAAGCTTCAAGGGATGTCGCGGTCGGGGGGTTGGTGATGAAGGCGCGTTGTGAGGTGTAGTGGAGGTCGAGCGAGCGACACGGAGAAGAGAGCTGAGAGGCTTGCCAGTAGCAGGCAGTGCTCCACCCACCATTCACCGGCCTGCACCATCCATGGGGGGCATGGATCCAAAGACGGCCCCGTCGCGACAGAAGGCAACCCTGCACTCGCCTTTGTGCTCGTCCCAGGCAGGCTATCGTGCATGGTGAGCGACAGGCAGCGCAACATGGCCATCACAGGGCGCTGTGGTCGCGACGTCTGATGTTGCGTGGCTCCATGTTCTGCCAGTCGGCCTCTCCCACTCACATGAAGCTGTCTTGTCTTGCCTGTCCCGTGTTCCTCGTCGCTCGCCAAACCAGCCGAAACAGGTCTCCCAAGGTTCCAAACTGCCGCTAAAACGGCCTTTGCCGCGTTATTTAGCCCTCGTCATCTCCTGCCGGCCAATTTGTTTGGTTCAGTCGGTGTTAGCCTGAACCACTGAGGAGATTGGGCCCCATAGCACGTGATTCACTAATCGAACAAGCGGTCAGCACCAGTCAAGCCTTCATCATTCTGCCGTCACCAGCCCCAGGCCTTGTACACTCTCCAATACCATCCCACCATGGCCTCGCTATCGTTGTCGCTCGAGGACTTGCATTCGGTGGCTCTGCTGCGCGCCTTCTATCTCGCTGCATCACTTCTTGTATCGCGACACCACTCAGTCGCACCTGCAACCTCACTAATCAGCGTGCTTACTAGATCCTCGTCATCCAGGCCGTTCCTGCCCTGCGCTCTCGCTTTCTTGCCTATGGCTCTCGTGTCGCTGGTCTAAGCGGGAGGAAGGTGCTATCCGTTCAGCAGCAGCAGCAGCAGCAGCAGCAGCCAGCTCTCACCCGCATTCTCGATTACGCCGCCTCGCTGCAGGTTCCCCACAACTACTTCACCCATTTCTATATTACATCGGTGCTCTGTTCGCTGTTTTGGGCATGGAGACTACGCGTCTGGGAAGCTGGTGGGCAGCAGCAGATTATCTGGGTGCTCATGTTGCTTCAAGGCCTGCGCCGCATGCTCGAGTCCTACGCATATACTTCAACGAGCAAGAGCCGAATGTGGTTTGCTCACTGGGTACTTGGTCTCCTCTTCTACACCACGATAAACATGGCCATCTGGGTTGAGACACCCAGCAACACTGTCAGTAATTGGGCATCCGTGCCGGGTGTCATCACAGCCCAGATGCTGCAACACTCTTACCACAGCTATCTATATCGTCTCCGCACCGAAAGCAACGACTACCAGCTTCCGTCGCATACTGTGTTTCCCAATCTCCTCTGCCCGCACTATACCTGCGAGGTCGCTATCTATGCGTTGTTGTCGCTCCTGGCAGCCCCAGAAGGTAGCTGGGTCAATTGGACACTAATCTGCGCGACTGTATTCGTCGCTACAAACTTGGGGGTGACGGCAGTAGGTACGAAGAACTGGTACGTGGAGAAATTCGGCGCCGATAAGGTAGGTCCGCGGAAGAGAATGGTCCCTGGGATCTGGTGAAGCAGTGCTTGCTCGCAGAGTGGAACGTCGTGTTCAAACTTATCTTAGGAACAACCTTTACAACAAACCAGCATTGTTCAAAGCCTATCACGCGTTACCCTAGAGTTTTGCACTTACAGTCTCTTTCTTTATCCATTTCGTGTTTCCAGTCTCCTAGTTTCCACCGTCTAAAGTCGCCTTTCTCCGTAGCGATGACGACAGGCGGGATGGAGTTGGCACTATCCGCGTCGTCTACGCCCTTGGGCCCTTTGTGCGGGGTATCTTGCAGCGAAGTGCCCCACTCTAGATGGTTGTCTTGGACAATTAACCCTATCCAGCAGATCGTCCTGCACTCCATCGTGCAGTTTCGTTGGTGGCTTGCTTATTGACATGGTAGTTGTCGACTAGGGTTCTGCTGCAATATAAGCCAGACTTATCCGCAGTTTACGGTTGAGATTTCACCCATCTACTATTCTTCGCCTTTACAGCATGTCTGAATCCGAAGCACCGAAGGATCTCCCTGAGATGGAGTACCGCTTCATGGGCAAGAGCGGACTGCAGATCTCTGCCATCTCGCTTGGTGGTTGGCTCACTTACGGAGGACACGTTGGCGATGACAACACATTCGCCTGTCTTAAAGCAGCCTTCGATGCTGGGATCAACTTCTTCGATTGCGCTGAAGGCTACGCAAAAGGCGAGTCGGAGAAAGTCATGGGCCGCGCTATCAAACATTTCAATTGGAACAGGAATGATATCGTCGTCTCCACCAAGGTAGTCTAGTCTTAACGAAACCTCGTGAAGACAGTGCATTAACTTACAAAGATCTACTGGGGCACTCACAACTCCGCCCTTCCTTCGCCCCGCAACAAGATCAACAATCTCGGGTTGTCAAGAAAGCATTTAATTGAAGCCACGGAAGCCTCTCTGCAACGCCTACAGCTAAGCTATGTGGACATTCTATACGCTCATCGTCCGGATCGCTACACTCCGATCGAAGAGACTGTGCGCGCCTTCAACTACCTGATCAACACTGGCAAGACCCTTTACTGGGGTAGGTATCTCCATGTACTAGATGTATGTGTAACATACGCTAACTTCATACATCGCACTTTAGGTACATCCGAGTGGCTAGCATCGGAGATCGAAGAAGCATGGGCTGTGGCTGACCGCCTTGGCCTTATTGGGCCTATCGTCGAACAGCCAGGCTACTCGCTTCTTCGTCGAGACAAGGTCGACCAAGAGTTCAAAGACGCGAACCTCTACGGACGTCGTGGTCTTGGCCTCACAATCTTCTCCCCACTCCAAGGTGGCCTTCTCACAGGAAAATATGTAGACGGTGTCCCCGACGATTCGCGCCTCCGCCAGTCCGACGACCCTTACATTCAATCCGTCATCAAAACTGTCGGGAGCGACGCCTGGAATCAGCAACAAGACAAGATCAAGAAGCTCATGGACATTGCTAAGAAGCTTGATACTGACGTTGCTACCCTATCTATGGCATGGGTCTTGTCCAACAAGAATGTCTCAAGTGCTATTACTGGTGCGTCAAGGCCAGAGCAGATATATCAGACCGTCAAGGCGGTTGATGTGTACAGGAAATTGACAAAGGAGAACCTGAACGAGATTGAACAAGTCATGGGAAGCAAACCTGCGGAGCTCACCATGAGATTCGGATAGTTTCCTTGCTAGAAAAGACCTTCACCAGTGGAAAGTAAGTGTCTTGCACCTGTGGCTCGGATTTCCAGTACGACATTCTGGCAAGTTCATTACCCATTGATCACCCCAATATCATATGTGTCTTTGCGCAAATAAAATTCCTTCAGAATAAAAATGCTGTGCTAAAGCATGTGAGAAATGCCTTTTAGAAAATTTTAATAAGTGTTGTAGAGAACTTACCTGGCCAGTCCTTACTCCTCGTAGCAGCTGGTTCTGTCACGTGCTCTCGCGTCATGGTCCGTGCATTGTCTGCCTAAAGCAACAGGCTGCATCACTTCGTGGAGCGACCACAGGCTTTTCCACAGTGGTTGCTCTTCTTTCTTACCATCTTCTCATCACCTGAACACGTTCTCAATAGCCACGATTCGCCAATTTGTTCATCCCTGAAGGTCCATAACGCCTCGAGATTAACGGCACGCGACGCTAGTTGCCATACGCCAAGCGCGCAAAAGAAGCATCTGCTAACACGACTATGGCGGGTAAAGAGGCGACAGTCTACATACTCGATCTGGGGCGGTCGATGGGCGAGAAGAGGAATGGCCGCGAGCAGACTGACCTTGACTGGGCATTGGAGTATGTGTGGGACAAAATCACAACTACCGTAAGTCGTCGTTCATTGGGAGATTTAGTATGTTTGATGTGCGGTAATGCTTCAACTCTTACACAAATGTCGGTTTCAAGAATAGATTAACAGCAATTCAGGTTGCCACAGGCAGGAAGAGCGCGTTGATGAGTGTCATTGGCTGCCGAACGGACGAGACCGATCTCGCTGGGATTATGGAAGAGGGTGAAGGGTATGAGAATATTAAGGTGTTCTCGGAACTAAAGTCGTATGTGCCACGTTAGAAGAGACGTTGCTCCTGCTGATAGACGTTAGATATCTACTAGGCGATGTTCGAATGCTACAAGAGCAACTCAAGCCAAGCAAAACGGACAATGGGGATCGTGAGTGGCAGACATTTGTGAAGCCTCTTCATACTAATAGCAATAGTACTCTCCGCCCTTGCAGTAGCTGTACACATGATTGATAACGCAACCAAAGGGACAAAAGGCAACCCATTAAAGTACGATCGTAGGGTCATCATCGTGACTGACGGTCGTGGCCAAATGGACACTGAAGACCTCGAGCAGATGGCTTCGAAGATTAAAGATCCAGATGCTCCATTCGAGATTATCCTGCTTGGTTTAGACTTTGACGACCCAGATGTAGGCTACACAGAAGAAACGAAAGAGTCTCGAAAGGTATGAGGGATGGGTGCCAAAGCTTGAATGGAGCTAATATGATCTAGGCAAAGAACGAGCAGATTTTGAAAGGCTTTGTAGAGGATTGCAACGGCAATTTCGGCACACTTGCGACAGCTATTGAGCAGCTTCATACCCCTCGCCTTAAGGACACCCGGCCAGTCCAAAGCTACAGAGGCTCACTTACACTGGGAGATGCTAGCAAGTACGAGGCCACTATCACTATCGACGTTGAACGGTATCCATGTACCATGATTGCGAAGCCACCCACAGCAAGTACATTCGCAGTGCGTGCAGATCATGCTGGCGCATCTGGCCCAAGCGTGGAGTCATCGGCGACTGTAGTTGGTGAGGACTACCCAATGACTGATCTGTCAGCGGTCCACAATCAGCGCCTCTACCAGGTAGACAACCTGGATGAGCCCGGCCTGAAAAAGCCAGTCGAGCTTGATGAGCTAGAGCGCGGCTACGAATACGGCAGAACAGCGGTGCACATTTCGGAATCTGACATGAACGTTGTGAAATTGGAAACCCAGCAGGCTCTGGAGTTAGTGGGCTTTATCAAGGGTGAGGAATTTGATCGTTATCTTCCCTTGAGTCGCGCCAACTTCATAGTGCCGCAAAAGGCCAACCCGCAAGCTCAGCTCGCTTTATCGTCCTTCATTCACGCACTCTACGAAGCTGATTGCTATGCGGTTGCACGTTTGGTAGCGAAGGATCTAAAACCTCCAGTGTTGCTACTACTTGTTCCACGTATCGAGTTAGAGTGGGAGGCTCTAGTTGACGTTGAATTGCCTTTTGAAGAAGACATGAGACGATACAAGTTCCCGCCATTGGATCGCAAACTCACAGTCAGCGGCAAGACCATCACTGAGCATAAAGATCTACCGACAGATGAACTTCTCAATGCCATGAGCCACTACGTCGATGCGATGGACTTATCGACATTTGGTCGCGACGAAGATGGCAATGAGGAAGAATACGCCAAACCAGAAGACACATTTTCCCCCCTTGTCCATCGTATCCTCCAGGTCATAAAATGGCGGGCGACACATCCTGATCCCACCTTACCCATGCCAGACCCGCCGGAGATCCTGATGAAATACTCACAGCCACCAACAGAGCTCATCGCAGCGGCTGTAAAGCAATTGGATTCCGTCAAGAAAGCAGCAGACGTCAAAAAGGTTCCGCCAAAGGTCAGAGGTCGTGGTAAACGGCAACGTACAGACCGCGATAAGCCTCTTTCAGGCCTTGATGTTGACGAGCTCCTCGGTAAACCCAAGCGTGTCAAAATCGAAACCAACAACCTCATACCTTCGTTCAAGCAAGCTCTCGCTGCCTCTGACGATCTAGACGCCATTCAAGAAGCCGTAGAAGGTATTGCGAAGGAAGTCCATAACCTCATTAGCAGCAGTATTGGAGACAACGCTTATGGACGGGCACTTGAAGCTATTCGCGTCATGCGAGAAGAGCTCACCGAGCTCGAGGAACCAGAGATGTACAACACGTTTGTGGTGCGGCTGAAGGAAGATATTCTTGGCGGAAAATTGAATGGCAATCGCCGAGATATGTGGTGGAAGATTAAGGGAAGTCGGTATGGACTCATCGACTCGAAGAAGAGTTACGTCAGTCCTGTCACGGAGGACGAAGCCCGAAGGTTCTATGAGGTTTGACAGGCTGAGTCGCCAAGCTCAACCGGTTTGCCTGGAAACGTAGTAGAGCAAGGCAAGCACTGCAGGTATCTGTATTACGACTTCGAGTTATCTACAATAGGACCATGGTTGCATGCACCGATGTATTTGTGCCTCTAGCTACTCGTACACCCGTTGTTTCTTTCTGCCACCACATTCCGTAGATTCGAACAACTGCAAGCCCAACAGCCAAATTTGCACATTTCGTGTCTGCAAGTTTGGCTCGTGCCCAAAGGCTAGCGCGCATGCTCGGGGAGCGTCGTTTCGTCATACGAAGTTCTCACTCACCACCACCTCGCCGCCCACCAGGCGCAACCATGTCCAAGATGTCCAAGCCCAGCTTCCACCAAGTTCGTCGTAAGTAGCTACAACTGTCTCATCATGTTTGTTTCGCGCACTTGAAGTGGTTGCATGCCGCCAGGGGGCTGGAAAGTTTGTTGTGCGATGCGGCTGACTGCTGTCCCATGCTTATTCGCTGCAGCACTGCCGTGCGACTATCGGACTCCGACTGACATCAGATGATGAGCCTCACACATGTAGAATTCCTACTGGTTGAAGGCCACTGCTCAGCCTCCAGGAGTTGCAGTTCAGCCGCGACGCCAGTGCGGCCGTTCCGAGGGCGTTGACCGGTCTTTTGGAAATCGCCTAGGAAATTCTATACTTCGAAACAATTCATTTCTTCAACATCGAACCTTGGGCTCCCAGACTCAAGAAAATGCATTAGTGATGCATGTTGTACGTTAGCTAAATCTGTGATACCTTCGACGATCTACAGCTATGGAGCCTTCAACCCTACGGTACTCATACTCACCTGCGTCTCCCGAGATCCGCGTCTCAAGACCACAGTATGCTTCCACACCTGCCAGAGCAAGCGACGAGTCCTCCGACATTGGGCGCGACATCCCATTGAGATTCGAAGAAGATATGAACGACCCAGGTCTAGGGATCCAGATGATACCTATAACAACGCCAAAATCACCAGGCGCTGCGTATTGGCGGCAGGAAACCAGTGATAGAAAGCATGATGTGTTCTCTTCTGTCGCATCCTATCCTCAGCCACGGCCGTCATACTCTAGAACGCCAGACACGCTGTATTCATTTGGGTCTGGTATCTCGAGAGCGCGAACAGATCCTATGACCGAGAGGCTCATTGCGCATCGGGCGACCCAGTCAACAAGATGGCATATACATTGGCGTATACCAGCACTCATGGGATTTGCTTTCTTCATGGGCCTCGTGTTCGCGCTCCTCCAGCACTTTTTGTACACCTTCCTGCACCAGAGGCGAGAAGACGATGAAGACAAGAAGTTTCGATGGGTTCTTTACGGGCGCGCGTTGGCATACCTCTCAAAAGTCGCTTTTGGGTCATGCGTGGTACTTGTCTTTCGACAGCGCATGTGGAGAGCTTTCAGAGAGCAGGCGTTGACTGTGCTATCTATTGATCAGATATTCGGTGCAACAGAAGATCCTTCGCTCTTTGGGAACTGGGAAACTGTATCGGGTGCGCCGCTCCTGTGTGCCATCGCCATGGTTAGTAATTTGACGGGCGCAAGCCACATATAAACATACACTAATTGCGAACGCGGACTTGCAGGTTATCTGGCTGATTCCGTTGGCAACAATCATATTTTCACCCGGTGCACTTACCTTCGGAACCTATCTCGACATCGAAGTACTTGACCTTAAGGTTCCTACGCTCAACTTCTCGGTGGAATCCACAAAAGATTGGCGACACCCGGTCAAGCTAGAGGATGGAAGCAACAAGAGGTCGATGATGTACTACAATACCACCGATCTTGCTGCCGCAGCCCCAGGGTGGTTTGACTATTACGATCAGCCATCAGCAGAGTTAAGGCGCATTGCGCTTCTGCTAGCATACAATGGTATGGATCATCCAAACATTAGGCAGGGTGCTCGACAAAAGGCTTGTGGAGGATCCTACAATTGCACATACGAACAAAGCTTCACTGGGCCAAGTTATCAATGCGAGGAGGTTGCAAGTAATTTTGACGACACGGGAGGATCAAATCATTCAGATGCGCCTTTTAATATGAGCATTCTAGCACCGCAAGGAAGCTACGTGTACTATGCGGAGGTCGACAAAGGTGCATACCCCCGCCCTCAAGCCGCTGAATTTCGGGCGGGCAACGGGGGAATACCTGTTGGAGAAGCCCCATCAGATCTAGGTGTTTTCAAGTCGGAACCTGTGTTGTGGATCGGTTACGCATTCAATTCGACAAAAGAGTTAGCGACAGACGACCCACTTGCAATAAACTGGACACATCGCTATGATTCACATATCATCCGCTGCATACATATGGAAGCTAGGTATACCGTCAAATGGGAATTCACTGAGCCATCCTTCAAATCCACGATTGAGTTAAAACACCAAGCGCCCGTCGTGGACACAGACTTTCCGCGTGGGGTTGACGGCAAGATAGATTACACTACTATGCCCAGGCCTACGGACAACTACATCAGCCCTCGACACAACGTGGGTGTTTACAAGAAGATTACGGCATATCATGCAATCGGCGATATGTTTAGGGAGTTTCTTCGCGGACATGTCGATATTACGGCACCAAAACCAGGGCCATACTACGCACAAGTCCATTCGAACGTCACAATGACACGACTAGTGCAAAAAAACAGCGAGCCTAAGAACAATCTCACGGCTGAAATTGAGGCCTTCTATTCAGACATGGTGGTTTCATTGCTATCAGTACCAGAGATGTTGGTGGTAGCCGAAGAAAAACTCACAGTGAATCGGTCACGACTCCAGTCCTCTTTCGTCTACGTACCTGGGAGGTTATGGCAATGTTATGCGCCAGTCATCTTCGTTACTTTCCTCATTCTCTTGTTCGGCGCTCTAACGATTTGGCAAGATGGAACGACGTTCTCGACTGGGTTTTCTCGTATACTGGTTACTACTCGCAACACTACGTTAGATGATATCGGTCATGGCGCGTGTCTGGGCAACGATCCCTTCCCAATGGAGTTGATGCGCACCAAACTTCAATTTGGTGCTCTTGCTGACGGCGAAGAGGACTACCTGCGAAATGATGGTTATCAAGGCAGCGGTGGCCCTCTAGTTCCACATCACTGCGCTTTTGGCGTTGCTTCCGAAGTTGTGCCTATCGTCAGAGGTACGCCATATGCGGGTCTGAATCAGCGAAAAAGCAGAAGAAAGGTAAGCAAGGCAAAGATGGAAATTGAGTAGGCAAACCTGTGCCTAAGAAGCTTTGGCGTGTGATCCGTGAAACAAATTTATACTGATACTTGCTCCTATACCCAACTCAGTATATGCCAATGACCCTATTGACTGGAATATCGACACTCGTCATGTAACTCGCCACATCACTAAGCAGATACACGTAGTCGCAATGACCTGTAGTCTTGCCCCACGAAGAGTGTCGTGAGGAGCCGGACGTCTGCACAAGTGATTCATACCTCTAGCATCGTCTCGAGACACATACTGCATTAGGATTGGATGGAAACCTCAGCAAATCTGCCCATCCAACCGCTCTGCCACAATGCCTTCACCAAAAAGCCAAACAGTCCTTGCGTTTCACTGGATCCATCGATTTGCTTTTCGTCCATTTGCATGAGCATTCTAGTTGAACACGACGGTTTTCTGACCGTTCAAAAATACCCTCTTCTCACTCCACCATTTGACCGCCGCAGCCAAGACCTGACTTTCAACATTGCTTCCCTCCTCCACCAATTCCTTGGGGCTCAAAGCATGATCAACCCTCGCAACGCGCTGTTCAATTATTGGTCCCTCATCCAAATCGGCTGTAACAAAATGTGCGGTTGCCCCGATGATCTTAACACCGCGCTCATAAGCCTGATGGTACGGTTTCGCGCCCTTGAAAGAAGGCAAGAAAGAGTGATGGATGTTGATGATCTTGCCCGACATTTCTGTACACAGACGAGGTGAGAGCACTTGCATGTAGCGTGCGAGAACCACAAGATCGATGTTGTGTTGTTTGATCAAATCCAATATCTGTGTCTCCTGTTTCTCTTTGGTATCCTTGGTTACGGGTAGGTGGTGGAATTCGATACCGTTGTTCTTTGCTAGTTCAGCGAACTCGGGGTGGTTGGATACAATGATTGGTACATCCACCTTGAGTTGACCAGACTTGACGCGGAACAATAAATCGTTGAGGCAATGGCCGATCTTGGACACCATGATAAGGACCTTAGGCTTTGCGTCTACCCGCTGGATCTGGTACGTCATACTCATCTCCGAGGCGAGCTTCTTCATGCTATCTTGTAGTGCGGAGACATCAGGGGAGTGTCCAAAATGGACGCGCATGAAGAAAGTCTTGGAGTCTGGGTCGGAGAATTGCTGTAGATCCAGAATGGTGAGGTTTTCCTTCGCTAAGAGACCCGTGACAGCATACACAATGCCTGCTTTATCGGGGCATGACAGAGTAAGGTAGTGGTCGTCACCTGCCATCTTGGATGTTGAGATCCGTTCTGTGGAGCCAATTTGTTGAAGTCGAGGTACTGAGGTTGCTATGGATCGTCTGCTCAGATTCAGTGATGACTGTTTGGTCGAAAATTTAGGAACTAGGTTTTGCCGGTTTCGGGAAGCGTCGTTCGGTGGGTATATGGATTGTCGGGCCGCAAATGCGCGCGTTGATGTGTGGAGTGACCGTGTGCAGGTGCGTGCTGGACGTAGAAGCATTTTATGGCAATCTGATCTCTTTTTGCAAAGACTGGACGCGAAATGGCGTTTTCTCAATGCTGTGCTAGAACCTCTGCGGCTTAGGTATAGTGGCCGGAATCGGCCGACGATCTAGCCCTGTCGCTTACCAGTCGACTCGCGAGCGTATACGCGTAGGCAAAAATCTCTACCTTGATGCTCAAAACGTGCGAAAAGGTAGGTGAGACGTACCAATGCTCCATAAGTTTACTACCGGAGTACTTAAAACACTCGTGTGTTGGCAACAAGCGTATACAAATTCGACGAGTTAAAGACTTTTTCTACCTCGGGCGCCATGCGTACAATCGAAGACGATACTGTCAAAGGTAGAGACCAAGCAAAGATAGACTATCTTTCCGTACATCCAACTATGATTATCTCTCGTGTTCCGTACAGTCCAATGCACTTGTAGATACATTGAGCTTCTCGCGACCCCTAGTGAGCTCATCTGCCATCGTAACCAAAAGCAATTTGATAAGAATCACTGGTGCATAGTTCAGTTGCCAAGTGTGTCAGTACTCAAACTGGATTTCAGACTAATCTTACCATGTCTTTGTATACAGTATGCCATCGAAGTTACTAATAGAATATGTTGTAGCTAGCATGCCAATCAAGAAGTCAACCACAGAGTGATTTCACCTAGCATCTATGTGCAAGAACTTAAAAACGTAGTCAGGTGTGCTGCGCTATAGAAAGATACAAGTTAATGCAGCCACAGAAGCGGAGAGTCCTTTATTTGTGCTCGAAGATTGGTAATCAACTGTAGTGCGGTAGCCAAATGGCCCAAGAAATTATAATTCTGTTCACATCTTGACCTAAAGATTGCTTTACTGCTGGTATTCAGGTGGGTGGTGCGTGCTGATCTTCCTGCAGTGGTCTTTGCGATTGATCGTAACTAGTAAAGCCGCCCCCGATAAATGTTTTGCCCTCGAGATATGGTCCCTGATTCATTGGATTACTATACTGCTGCCAATTTGTTGACGAGCCGGTATCCGGGCGAAAAGACCAGAGACATCTCGACATCCCCCTTTTTCTAGATAGGCAAGTGTCAACGAGAGTATACCAACCCGCTCCCACAGTGTGGGACTAGACTGAGGTACTTTTCGCAACGTCAGGAACCGTGCCGCTCCATGTTCCGTATCGCAGAATCTTCCAGCAAATACAAGAACACTAATGAACTCGCCAGAGACATGCTTGGCGGTCCATTGTTGCTGGGTGATGGCGATCGACATGGCGGTGAAAGCAAGGCGACCCTTCTTATGACCCATCCTATACCAATCCATGTCCTTATCAAAACTGTATGACATTTTTTCTTCACGACCGGGCCTTCCAATCAACTTCCCCCAAGACCACTCTCGATCAACATCTTTGATCCTATAAAAGGTATTCAAGAAGTACGGGTCTCTGATCTCAAGTGTTGATAACATCCCATCTGATAAGCGACGTATAGAGTCTCTGTCGAGCAGTCGAACTCGAGACTGACATTCAGGATGTGAAAGGTACATATTCGCCGCCCAAACAATATTGGGGCTTGTGGAGTTAATGAGATCACTCATATATGCCACGTATTCACGATCGGGGGGCAAGCGCCAACTAACCGTACCGTTCCAACCAGCCCACGTCCACGAAGGCAGGTGATTACGTCGTGTACAAGCCTCTGAGATGAACATGACATGATTTGGGCTTGCACGGTGATACCATGACGATAGCGATAAAGCGAAGGTGATTTGAGGGCTCGTCGCGCTTCCGGCAATGTCGCCTGTCCATAATGGAACTCCTTGGAATATAATTAGAGATTTGGTTTGCTCGTACATCCCGCAAATCCCCTGAACTACAGTTGAGTACGCGCAATCAGTATACGTCTCTTTTTCAATTCGCATGGTATGATTGCTTACATGCTGGTAGGATATCTGTGTCTTGCGTCAAGTGCCTCTTAGTGAATTCACGCATGTGATCAGCCAGCCCTCGCAGTTGTGCTCTAACGTTGATCTCATTAACCACTGGAAACCCATAGTCAAGCCGATATGCCTCGTCGTTGGAGATAACAGCATCATCTTGGTGCGCATTGCTACCTCCACTAAAAGCACCTCCTTTGAATATGCCAGTAAGCAGGAAGTCGACCAGAAGATAATTAGAATTATCTTTGAAGCTTGCAGGTGTGTGGAACAGCGTTATGTCTGCGCTCTCGTGAGACGCCATACTGCGACATTCCCAGTAGGTCTGGTGTTCAGTGAAAACAATGCGGCGATTGGAAAGCACACCTTCTTGGTAAGTCCAGCCACGAGTCCAATACTGCGACTGCATTACTTCTCGCCGCGGATCAGGAAGTATTGATAAAAGTAAGCTTCCGCTATCGACATAGTACTTTGGTTGCGGTCTGCGGGGTGTCGATCGTACTCCAGGGAGACCATGGCTAGCACCGCTTCCTGCCGCTGCTACGATCGTGAAATCCGCTGCTTCGTATATCGTCGTCATCCTCGAGATCAGGTAGCCTTTCTCATCCAAATCCGATTGGTTTATACAACTCCGATCCACCCATAGATAGGTGAAGTTGAGTTTGCGTGTAACCTCGACTGCGTCCATAACCGTCGCTGGCCAAGGGTCCAGATCAGCGGAGGTAGATCCCCAGACATAGCTTAGAGCTGCATATGGTGTCCCCCATGGCTGTTCCTCCACCTCTGGAGGATCTTTTGAACAATTGATGAGACGAAAGCCTCGGGTGATAGGCTCGTATGATGCGCGTTGCTTGCATGCGTCACCATGCTCGCTCCGACATACATCGAGCCACATCCGTACCTGCCCAAGATCAAATGTGGACGGAATTTCCCTAGCACCCAGTAGATCCTGGTCGCTACTGTTGCCAGCCAGCTGACGGAAGACGGCTCCTACGGCGGGGATCTCGTAATCAAGCCAGGTGATATCGTGTGCAGTTGGCGGAATAGACTCAAGATCGGGTACGACGGCCATGAAAGCTCTATCATGACGAGTTCGAAGGTCTTGCCAATTCACATCTCTCTGTGCTTCTTTCAATCGCGCTCCATGGAAAATCCATGCATCGCTACTGGGAAACGCTAATAACTTGTAGCGCTCATGTGCATCTGGCTGAGTCCTGATGGATCGGAAAAAGTTGCACAATGGACACTCTGATGGGCTGGATAGCCGAGTACCAAATTGATGCACCAGGAAAGCATCATTATAGAAGTTTCGTCGATCATAGGCTTCGTGAATCTGGGCGGGGTTTGATGTGTTAAGGTTTCTCCCTCTGTAATGCCGGTAGGCTTCATCAAAATTCCAATCGATATCGATCGTTTGGCAAGCCACACATAGAGGTGACGTTGGGTCGTTGACTGTTCGACAGCGTCTGCTTCCATGGAACTCCACGTCATCCTCCGAATTGGACTTTCGTTTTCGTTTCCCGATCTGGTTCGATGATATTTCGGTCATTGCGTGGTAGAAGAATCACGACTTTCCTATGAGATGGGCGATAGTAATTTTGTTTCTATGGCTGACGGTGCAGTCGAATTTCGTACGAAAAGTTGTAAAATAGTGGTGTTGACTCATATCTATCGTTGTGGAATCTATCCTCGTATTGGCACACAGCTGAATGCAGGTCGCTCGGGCAGTGTCCAGCACAGCCTCGTTGCCTGAAACAGGCATTAGCGCCGCCACGGGCGCATCTACCCATCTTGAGCGAATCAGGAACGATCCTTGTTCTCTTCCCCAATTCATCGTTTTGCACACTAATGCCTGACGGGGAGGTTCTGCGAGCCTTCATCTAATTCAGATACTACATAGCGAGCAGCTCGTATGTCAGCGTGGACGCAAAAGGGGTTATCGAACAGCATATTCTTAGCTCGTTTCTGATCATAAGGGCGGCAACATATTTCTTTCTATTCGGCCGGACGTTATTCGGTTCTCACCCTGACTACAATCTTGCCCTTCGCCCTGCCGGTCCTGAGCTTCTCGTATGCTCTATGTACATTGTTGAATGCAAAAAGTTCGTCCACGACAGGCTTCACTTTGCCGTCCGCGACAAGTTTGCCTAACTTGATGAAGTCATCGTAATTTGTAGAAGCAAGACCGAATGAGAACGGCCGTTGCCCGCCTCCAAGCCACATGGGTACCAAGAAGCGGAAAGCGAGGTCATATATGAAGGGCAAGCTGACCTGGGACCCGATCTGTACGTACTTCGCTCCAGGCTTCGTGAAGGAGGGAGATTTCCAGTAGAGCTCGAACTGGTGGCCAACGTTATCGAGAACCATATCATAGTGCTTCGAGCTGCTTGCGAGAAGAGCAGAAACATCGTTTTCACGATAGTCAATCAACTCATCGGCTCCAAGATCCTTGCACAGTTGGGTGTTTGCACCTGTGACAGAATCAGCAGATGCGCTATCGTTCCAAACTTGGTATATTTACCTGAGCAAGTTGTAGTAACATGGCATCCCAAAGCTTTGGCGATCTGTATGGCAAATGTTCCCGTACCTCCCGAACCACCATTAATAAACACTCGGTCACCAGCTCTCACATTTGGAGCAAGACACTGATACGTCACAAGTCCACAAACCCCTAGCGTTGCTGCTTGCTCTACAGACACGCCACTAGGTATCGGCACCGTCCCAGCTTTTGAACCGATAACGTATTCCCCAAGTGTGCCAAACTGTTGCTTTGGCTCGAGTTTGCCGAATACCATTTGCCCAACCTTGACATTGCAGTCGGGTCCTTCTTGAACAACCCTTCCAGCAAAATCAAGCCCGGGTGTTGCTGGTTTCGGGATGGCCATTCGTCCAACCACTGGCAGTTCTGCTAGCTTGTAGTCGACAGGGTTTAGAGCAGCAGCGTGAACTTGAATAAGAGATTCTCCAGCTGCGAGGGGCCGCTTCGATGTCGGCAGTGGGACTGAGTCTTTGAGCTCTATCGCCTCCTCAAGCGTGGTACCACATGTCGACCATTGCCATGCTCTCATTGTTGTCGGTAGGCTCATCTCTTCCGTTCCGGTGGTGGTGGTTTGCGACATGGTTTAAGTAAAGGTCGATAACACTGTTAAGAGGAGAATATTCGAGAGAGTCGGAATACACATTGATTCTGATGCGACATCATATACTATTCTGCGGTGGCTGGTCGTCAACCAAAACCATGGGCACCATTCGGATCCCCACACGGGGAAGCTGCAAAGCGACAGTGGTCTACGGTATGCATCAGGAAAACTATCATCAACCGCACAACAAGAGCACCAGAGGTTAAACTAAGACAAGTTTGATCATCTATGTCGCGCAGCGAAAGTGTCTGTAATGGGAGAGATGGTAAAGATATGAGCGCCACGTTAGAGGCTCGACGTCGCTAGCGCCGGACCTCGTGCTTCCGCTAACGACTCCTCACAGCTACTAAACCTTGTATACCAACATAGGCCCTATGCGTTCTAGTTGTGCGTCTTACTTGTGATGATAAATATCGATCGGTTGCGGCAGGATAGATCGCTTTTGACAATGATGCATTGTTCGTCGTCGGACGCATTCTCTTAAGCCGTTCTGTCCAGATGGGGCTTCGTTTGCGTGTCGATATCGGTAACATGATCCTTTACTATCAACTCTTTAGCGCCCCAGCTGCATAGTTGGGAAACACAGCACTAGATGATGGTACAAGTTCTTCTTCTCTTACATCGGCATGTTCTCCTTCGACGTCGTGATGCATGACTTTCTCATATCCCTCGTCGCACTTAAGCAATTTTCCTTCTTCGATACTACTTTGAGTTTCCTCTTTTGTGTCACAGTCGTCTTCCTTGGCTTTATTATCTATTCGCTCATTCTATTCTTACAATTTTCTCTTACAGATGTAGGCTTAGGTCAGGAATTTGAAGATTTCGTTTAAAAGAGATATGAAGCCGATGCGATCAGGACTACATTGAGCGTTGCGATCAGATGCTCTACCAAGAAAGAAGTATTTGCTTTGACCAGACTGAATCCATTCTTTTGATTTCACGAAGTCAAGAACCGATGGGCGGCATCACGAGTTAAGAAAAAGTTGCCATCCTGGGCTTCTAATTAGAATCTCCGCCGCAACTCTGAGTCTATCAATGAGACCATTGCGCACAGCTTCTCTCAGCAACAATTACTTCATCATTAATAGAGGATCTGAGTCACGGTGATAGCTCCTACGTATATATGTCTCTCGCAATGCCTAAGTTCACGAGTAATAGTTTGCCATTTGTATGCCTCGTGCTCAGCAGTCGTTCCCGGATGATGGAGTCAAGAGTGCTGGTTACCATCAATCATCTTTCTTTGTGGTCCACCTTTTCAGCATGCATCAGCTGAATGATTCTGCTTTGCGATTCTCAGATCAGCATGTCATACCAGTAAAATGATCCGGCTGGCTTATTCCTGCCGTGGTCCAGATATCTGAGATTGCAATCGCGAAAACGCACACGTGAGGCATCGGAGAGGTTGTGTGCGTCTTGAATATAACCTGTCATGGTACATGCGAGGATGTTTGAATCAGAAGCAGACGCGCTGAATCATGAGCTTGAGCAGTAAAACACAATTGGATTAGTGTAAGTGCCACCTCGATGTTACGTGGCAATCTCTGAGGGTTTCCAAATATACCTTTATACTAGACAATATACCAGCACGATAGGCATGACGGCTGTGCTGTGATGTTAGTGTCATTCCGTATTGAGGTGTCGTAGGGGTACTTGGTGGATAGGCCGGTGAAAGAGAAGCGGGCGCGTGGCTGGACCAGACCATGGGACGGGTGGCTAGCGTCGCGTCCGTGCCCAGGCTTGACATCAACCATCATCGATCTCTCTGGTAACGGAGCTGCACACATCCTCACCGTATCTGCGCTATACACGCGGCACACTGATCTTCCTACACCACCAAGCCTCCCCAAACCTAGATACCGGTGTTGCCTACCTTCTACTACCTCGGTCGGTCACCCGCGCAATCTACTCCGCACCGCTTCGAAGCACCGAGCTTCGCGCCTCGAATCGCCCGCGCCGTACCTAGTCTTCCCGCTCTACACACACACACACACACACACATACCCATTTACAAGATGGCGTCAAGGAAGAAGGTCCTCCTCAAGGTACTGCAGCTCTGGACTGGATATGCTTTTCATCGCTGATGCGCGCAGGTCATTATCCTCGGAGACAGCGGGGTCGGCAAGACGAGCTTGATGAACCAATATGTACGATGACTCCACTTTGAGCTATGCACGATGCGAACGGTAGCTTGAGAGTGTGGACTGGGCTTATACAGTGTCTACAGGTCAATAAGAAGTTTAGCGCCAGCTACAAAGCCACCATCGGTGCCGATTTCCTGACCAAGGAAGTACTGGTTGACGACAGGCTGGTAACCATGCAGGTGCGTGGAGACCATGTTGAGTAAATGGTTCAAGCTGACTTTGACAGCTCTGGGACACTGCCGGTCAGGAGCGTTTCCAATCGCTTGGTGTTGCCTTCTACCGCGGCGCCGACTGCTGCGTGCTCGTATACGATGTGAACAACTCAAAGAGTTTCGACACTCTAGACAGCTGGAGGGACGAATTCCTCGTTCAGGCTAGCCCAATGGATCCAGAGAGTTTTCCATTTGTAGGTATATGTGGATAGTTTAGGACGGCATCGATACTGACCGAAACAGGTCGTAATTGGCAACAAGATCGACGTGGAGGAAAGCAAAAGGATGGTGAGTGTCTCCAGCAGTCGTCAAAGGCTATAATCTAACACATGCAGATCTCATCTAAACGCGCCATGACGTTCTGCCAATCGAAAGGCGGTATCCCCTACTTCGAGACCAGTGCTAAAGAGGCCATCAACGTTGAGCAAGCTTTCGAAGGTAAGCTGTTTTCGTTACCACTCCGAGACTCGGAGTTCGGAAGCTGACATGCGTAGTTATCGCACGACAAGCCCTAGCACAGGAGGACGTAGGTGACTTCAGCAACGACTTCCCCGAGACAATTCCGATCGACCTCAAGGGCAACGAAGGCGGCTGCGCATGCTAGTGTATGCCATTATGAAATAAGCGTTGTTCATGAGAGCCGACAGTGGACCCCCATCTGCCGCAATGCCGTCTTGCATCTGGAGTTCGCATGGAGTTTGGTGTTGGACATGCTTTCTGTGCAGGAGCATCTCGTTTTCCTGTAAATCATCATCAAATATGGGTTTATCGTTGCCTGTTCATATAGCAGCCTACCAATATACAATGTATTCATGCACCATATACTTGCACCTGGACGTGTGATGACGTGGGGCTGTGGCTAAGGCGGCACCGCCACGCTTCCCGCGGCCTCTTGAGACACATGAAACCCCCGAACCCCCCGGGACTTAGGCACATCGTTATCGAGTGTCCGCGTGTCACGTCGAACCACCCCGTGCAACTCCATTCTCCCTCTTCACATTCAGCTTTCTTCCGCGAAGGATTAATTTCATGGGCGCTCGCATCCACTTCCATGCCTCAACACGTACCCCGACCGTGAGCCCGCTTATTGCCGAAGACCCTCCTTGACCGACCTGCCCTACGTAACCTACGATAATTTCTACTACTTCCTCTCGATATGATACCCAGAAGAGAAGAGGATGTCGAGACGACGCCACTCAGCCCACGCGTTAGCGACGTCTCCGACGAAAGCGCGTACTTGCGCGGGGAAGACTACCTTGAGAGCCCGGCAAGTGAGGCCAGTCAGTGGGCTGAGGGCGAGAAGAGGGGAGCTTGGACAAGCAAAGTGAGACATGCAGTGGGAATAGCCCTCCTACTTGCTACCGTTTTCCTATGGACAGCTAGTAATTTCCTCGCGAGTGTACGTATCTCAGTCCCCCTCGGATGACATGGAGGCAATCGTGGTAGTAAGCGCGTAGCTGATCAATACGCAGACAATATTCGCAGACAACTCATACTCGAAACCTTACTTTGTCACCTATATAAATACCACCTTCTTCATTATACCGCTTTTCCCCATGTTCGTCCACCACCTATGGGTCGATCGTCACCGTCCAAACAGCGCGTCACAACACCGTCAACCCATCCTCGCACATATTCGCGATCTTCTACAACGGCGAGCAGGCAAGTGGAAATTGCTTCGCGACCACGAATCTACGTCTTCACTCTCGTCTTCGAACAAGTCGCGAAACGACGAGGCAGCCGAAGTTCTCTTATCGTCCTCTCTCCACGGCTCTCAGAGCTTTGGTAACGGGAAGAATGGGGAGCAGGACGTGGATGAAGGCATGACCTTGAAAGACACAGCGAAGCTGGCATTGGAATTCTGTCTCCTCTGGTTCTTGGCAAATTACTTTGCGGCCGCGTGTTTGGAATACACAACCGTTGCCAGCTCAACTATCCTTTCTTCCACATCATCAATCTGGACGTTGCTCCTCGGATCCATAATGCGCGTCGAGCGCTTCACGCTACTCAAACTCATTGGTGTACTCGCTTCTCTGGGCGGGGTAGCCCTCATTTCCATGGTCGATGTGTCCGGAGAGACAGACGAGAATCGAGGCTCTTTCCCACACAAAACACCAAAAGAGCTAGCCATCGGCGACGTTATGGCATTCGTGTCTGCCGTACTGTACGGCTTCTATACCGTCTTCATGAAAGCCCGGATTGGCGATGAAACAAGGGTCAACATGCCCCTTTTCTTCGGTCTCGTCGGTTTGGCTAATGTCCTGCTGCTGTGGCCCGGCTTCATCATTCTGCATTTGACTGGTATCGAACCCTTTGAACTACCACCGACATCCCGCATCCTCAACATCGTACTTATCAATAGTGCGTCATCTCTCGTGTCGGATTTTTGCTGGGCATACGCCATGCTGCTTACTTCTCCGCTGATTGTTACTGTTGGTCTTAGTCTGACGATCCCGTGCAGTCTTGTGGGACAGATGGTATTGGATGCACAGTATGCGTCAGCGTTATATTGGGTCGGTGCAGCGATCATGGTGCTTTCATTCTTGTTCATCAACCACGAGGACCGGAAAGATGAGGTAGATGGGTTACAAGGCGCGGATGACGCTGTGACAGAGGTGCAGAGGAGTTTTCAAAGTCTGAGACAGAGTCTGAGTCGAAGAAACTCGACAACTGGGGTTTGATGCTGAAGCGTCTGATATTGATGCCCTGATTGCATGTTCGACCCATCCATACACACCGAGATTTTTTCCAGTTTTGTAGCAAAATACCATAGTCATTGTTATTGGTTTCACGGGGTATCATAATGCAAGTCATAGTACTACCACTTACTCATTTTCGTCCACCGTCCATGTTCTTCGAGTACCCGTTCCGCCCATACTTCCCCTTGCCCTTTGAGTTCCACTTTCTTCCACCACCCCTGTAGCTCTTCTCCCGATCACCATCCTTCCTATTCTCCATCAACTCCTTCTTTCTCGCCTCCCAACTCTCATCGTCATCTAGTTCCTCGACTTCCCAGTTCTCTTTCTCCATGAACTTTTCAAGTTGCTCCTGGAGCTGAGGCTCCCACTTCGATGGGTCTTCCAGGTCACTGTATTCCAGGACGTTCTGGCCGAGCGTGTAGTCACCCTGACGAGAGCGGATAAGAGAGGACATCAGGCCGAGAGAGTTACAAGCTAGACCAAGATCGTGGCAAAGAGAGCGCACGTAGAAACCTGACGTCACTGTCATACGGAGCCGGGCTGCTGGGGGTTGCGCGGTTGAAGTGGATATGGCTGCTGATGTGGTAGTTTTGGTAGCTTCGATGTCGGATTTCTGGGTTGTTGATGGGTCTTCTGCTGCTTCTGCTTGCTCTACAGACGCCGTGGCCTTCTCTTCTATTGATACTGGTGCTTCAGCACTGACTTCCATAGCGTTGTTCTCAGCAGAAGCTGCATCAGGAGACGCCTCTTCTGTTGGTAGAGCGCCAGACATGGCATGCTCAGAGTCCTTCTTAAGTATCTTCGGCTGCTGCCCTGCGCCCTCGACATGGTCGTTCTCTGGTGACCGTGATCGCTTTCGCCCTCGTCTTGTTGCTGTGTCGGAGTAGACTTTTGCATCTTCTTTCCGAATGCCCATCAGCTTCTTTGCTCCTTCCATTTCAGCGCCATCCACCTCCTCCTTTGGCCAGGCAAAGTCATGACTTCCTGGCTCCAACCATTCGACCAGCTCAAGCTCTTCAACTTCCACCGGCCTTGCAGCCACCTCTGGTATGTCCTTGCCCTCTCTCGCGTACTCGTACATCTTTTTGCCATCGACCTTTAGCGCAGAGAAAACACTCGGTTTTTGCATGATCTTGCCGCGGAACTGCGCCAGCTTCTCTTCGACCAATTCCTTAGTAACATGCTTGTAGTCTGCCTTGCTCACAACCTTGCCCACAGCATCGTAGCTGTCTGTTGCTGCACCAAACAGTACCACACACTCGTACGTCTTTGTGCACTCAAGGAAGCGTTGCAGGCATTTCGTGCCCTTGCCCATGCCCACAATCAGCACACCAGTGGCCATTGGATCGAGTGTGCCACCATGGCCGAGTTTAGCCTTGATATTCTTGAGGTGCTTCGGCTTAGCGTCCGCGATGATGAGGGAGCGTTTCTGAGCTTCGAGCCAGGGTGCGAAGATAGGCGAACGGGAGAAATGGTCTTGGAGGTCGCGCAAGACGCCGGCAGAGGAGGCCCATTGCGGTTTGTTGATGGCGAAGATGCCTTCGAGCACCTTGCGGCTCTCTTTCGGAGGAGTAGTCATGATCGTACGCTTGATTGAAGACGCGACCAACATTAGCGAGGTGGAAGAAGGGACGCTCGAGCTCTAGCTCTAGCTCTAGCTCTAGCTCTAGCTCTAGCTGGGTGGGTGAAATCTTTGGAACGGCCCCGGAAGATACGAAGTAGCTCGTATTTTCCGAGTTATGCCTATCCCCGATAATGTATCCTGAATGTATACACTGCTACTTTCCTGCTCAAGTTACAACGTAAAAACCTATGAATACCTTCAAGGCCAGCATTACCAAGATGTCTTCTGGGTAGCTCGTCGGCACACGCTAATCTAAAATTGGTTTAGTGGACGATCATCTCACATGTTTCTGCAGCCTGCAGCCGTTCGCGCTTGTGCCACTCACTTTCCGCTCGCGACTTTCACTCTCTCACACACTTTTTTACGCGACAACCTACTCCAACCAGTTCCCAAATCCCCACGCATCTTCACTAGCATCTCAAGAATGGGCGACAACAACAAGGATCTGGAAGATCTTGCAAAGTCCACCACTGAGGACTTCTACGAGTTGCTTGGTGTGGCCTTCGATGCGCCGGAAGCTACGATCAAGAAGGCTTACCGTAAGGCCTCAATACGATACCATCCCGACAAGAACCCCGACAATAAAGATGCCGCCGACCGCTTCATTTACCTCGGATGGGCACGCGATATCCTCATCGATGAGAAACTCAAGGGCGAATATGACCGTGCGCGTACTAGGCGACGGGAGAAGGCGCTGCAGGATGAGCTATTGGATGGCCGGCGGCGCAAGATGAAGGATGACTTGGAGAGAAGAGAACGAGAGGTGCCCAACCTGAAGAGGAAGAGGGCAGAACAGATGAACGAGGCAGAGAGGAGGGAGCAAGAGATACAAAGACTAGCCGAAGATGGTAAGAGGCGGAGAAAGGAACTCCAGGAACGTAGAGAAAGGGAACGCAAAGAAGAGGCTGAGGCGAGCTTCATGGATGTCGAAAAGAGCCCCGAGCCGCAAGCGCCCAAGCCCGGAGAGTCGGCCGAGATCGATCGCACAGTCAAAGTCCAGTTCCAGCGAGAAGGCGAGACTGCAGCTTGGGACAAGGATAAGATATCGAGCATGTTTGCGAAATACGGCAAGATTGACATTGTAATCATGGGCAAAGACAAGAAGATTCGACCTTCAGGAGAAAAGCATCGCAAGACCATCGCTATTGTGTTCATCACGTACACGCGTCTTGACCATGCGCATGCCGCTGTCTTGGACGGGAAGTCCGACTACCCGTCATTGGAATCTATATCTTGGGTGAATGGCGAACCTGACCTCAAATCGCAAACCACCAATGATGTGCCACCAGCACCGTCAACGCCCCTATCCACGCCGAAGAGCAAGTCTTTCAGAACATCGTTCGGACCTGGTATAGGGAAGGGTGTAGGAGGCACGCCATCAGGAACACCAAAATTTTCTTTTAGTCCGAAGACGCCAAGCTTAGAAGAGATCACCATGATGAGATTGAGGCAAGCAGAAAAGAAACGATTGGAGGAGCAGATACGCAAGCAGGAGGCTGCTGAGGAAGCCGCACTATGACGAGACGATTAGATGAGTTGTTGTTTAGTTTTAAGATACCCATTGTTAGTGTAGTTTGCATATAGATAGAGAAGCAGGAAGTCCACAGTGCTAATAATCTTCGTAAGTTTTCTTGTCAGAAGCTAATGTAGGCTGTAAGGTAGGGCCTGTTGTGAACATTCCTTTAGAGCGAGATACACCTTCCTGCTACAACAAGCATGTTAAGACCTGTGTAGATATAGATAGAGAAGCTAGAAGCCTACAATGCTAACAATCTTTGCAAGATTTCTTGCTAGGGGCTAATGTAGGCTGTAAGACAGGGCCTGTTGTTTCAGTATCTGTCCAGTTTTTCCTTGTATGCGGTGCTACCTTTGTTGAGTGAAAGAAGTCACTGGTATCGCATGACGCAACTTACTCGACTATCGATAACACACGTGCCATTGACCCTGGACGCGCTGGATCGCCGTCTCGCGCTTCGCGCCCGCAGCGCAGGATCCCCGCTGCTCCTTTCGCCTAGGCTTGCATCACGGAGCTCTGTTCACGCAGCATCACAACATGCAACATATCTCGCGCTGATACTCAAAATGCCTGACCCAGAATCTGAGATACTGCGGCCACTCGACGCCTCCAATACCAATTCCGACGACTGGGAGATATTTATCTTGAGCGATGCGCGAATCGTCTTCGAGAACAATGGCAAACCTGCGAGTCTTCTTGCTGCATATGCAGACACACCACTCAGGGTGGAAGGGCGATTAGAAAGCCCTGGGCGTAGCCAGCTGAAATACTGTATGCGAGGCTTCTTGGCCTATACACGCGACCATAAAGGAAGCGGCTCTGGCTGACGCAATCCCAGTCTTGAAGAAACCCTATAAGCCCACAGACATCGAACTGCGAAACGTAACACGCTTCTCCTACGGCGAAATGACTGACGGAGCATATGTAATCTGGGCGCAAGGCAACGCAGGCTGGTTCGAAATACGGCCGGCGGCGCAGTACAGTCAGATATACAACGAGATGGTCCAGGCTGTGGAACTTCTATACTTCGTCACCGACATATATAGCGAGTCGCGGAAGAAGGGTAGTGGGCCTAGTTCAGAATTGGTCTTTCAAGAGGTCTGTACAAGTCGGGAACATGTAAACTTCGAGCAAGGTGAACGCTGACATAGCATAGTACGCAGAGGACGAGCGCTTCCCTTGCAGCGATGTAGCTACAGCTGAGAGGATTTTCGACCATCATCACCTTTTTCTTATGATGTGCTTCTTGAATAAGGCCCAAGGACTAAGTTGGAGTAACACGCCTTTATATCAACGTTTTAGACGCAGATTTCCGGCGAGTGATACCCAAAAGAACCTATAGTTTTAATCTAATATACGCACAGAAAGACTTCGACAATTGCAAAGCACGTATCGAGGGCCGCTATTCGCAAATCCAGCCTGAACGTTCAGCACAACCTTCCAAATTCACGTCGGCAACCACAACAGGCTCCAAGTCAACGCAAACAAATGCGAAAGCACAGACAGCCCACGGAAAGGTTACGATAACGAAGCCAGTAGAAGCGCCAAAGAAGGATGACAATTGGTGGGAGGCAGCCGCTCTCTTCGAATTCATGCAGAAAGCAGTGAATCAACGGGTTCTGCGGGCAGGCCGAAACCAAATCACGGTAGACCGGGTTGCAGAACTTGTTGTCAGGCGATACGAGATTGAAGAGGTGGAAATTGCAAAAAACGTGCTTTTGGTACATGCACAAAATTTATGTTACATGATGGAACATCCCCGCCGGAAGGCCGTACAATTCTTTGCTTCCGAGCCGATCTACAAAGGACTAGCAGCTGGACACGACCTATCTGCAGCCGAACAAAGACGAGCTGAAGGTGTCGAGTTGAAACCACGGAGAGATCACGGAACTCTCAGAGATGGAGAGAATGAATCTTCAGACACATCTGACGAAGAAGACGCGATAACAACACCTGTACGCAGGCCACCAGGTAGGCGGAAGCAAGGTCGGCTATCTGTGCTACGACCTAGGAGTGGAAAGTTTTCTGGCAAGAGTAAAGGGATTAGCATCAAGCCAGGCAGACAGAAGGGGGGGAAGGGGAAGGCGCCTGTACCAGCAAGTGACGATTCGGAAGTCCAGCAAAGCGACGAGACGACCAGTAGCGAGGAAGACGAGGGAATTGACACACCGACGCAAGCCTTATCGCCAAGTCGTGAGAAGAGAAAACTAGATGACATGGATGCGGACCAAGAAGAAAGAGGCCGGTGGAAACGTACAGTCAGTGCATCTGCGGCTCCCGACTCTCCTCCTACAACCGGCGACTCGGATTTGGAAGAAGCTACCGCTGTGCCACCTCTACCACTCCGTTACCGGCCATCCAACGTCCCCCCGCATGTTAGGCCAGCGTCATCGTCAGCGAATACCAGACTAATGGTATCACCACCGATAGTATCAACACCATTACCAACCTACGAACCGAACGGCCCGCGCGACTCGTGGATTTGTAGTTTCGACGGCTGCACTCAGAAAATTTATGGATGTAGTAAGGAATTGGGCAGGCAGTTGATCACAGAGCATCTAGAGGATCATAGTAGAGGGCGAGAGAAGGTTGTAGGTATCCTTTGGAGAGAACAGGATAGGTTGAACCTCCCTGTCAGGTAAGGTGAAGTCTTTAGTACAATGATGTGGAAACTAACAACACAACAGCAATCTGATCAAGAAGATTCGCGAAATGAACGAGGCGTCCACACCGCTGTTCCCGATGCCTGGTGCTTCGACGACGGCGGTGCGGCCCATACAGAGACCTTTATAGAGGCATCAATTGAACTACAAAAATTCATGTCGCTTGCGTTGAAACGTCACAGCGGCGTGATATTAATTATGTGCTTTTCTCTATATCTCCTATGCATCCCTGAACCTCTTTCTCTTGATGTCGTCATCATCTGCGCCATCAATGCTATCCAGACTCCTCTTCGTCTTTCTCCAGCCGTCCTTCTGACTCTTTCCCTCGATACTTTCAACATTATTACAACCCTCTACACTCTCCTTGACCTCCTCCACACTGTTCACGTAACCCGCCTCAGCATCATACTCCTCCCAAATTGGTCTTGTAACCTCATAAAACTCTCTTGTATCAGTTTTGGCGTGCCGTTTCGGATGTAGGAAGGGCAACGCATATATAGGAGTGCGGAGGTAAGACTCGGGATATGAAATATCTGTCATGCGCGCTGCTTGTGACGAGGGGTGGTTGTAGTTAAAAGATTTTCCAATGGTACTGGAGTGCAGGACATGTGAGGCTTCTGTCAGAAAGGGAAATTGACGACGTAGCATGGAGCATTTGTATGGGAGAGGAGATGGGTGTTGTATAGTGAGCTGATCATGAGGAGTCGAATTATGATGCAAGGTCGTGCTCTTACTGTTTTCAATTTGTGCCATTTCGTCCTGAGTATGAGACGCCTGCATAGAAAAGTTGACAAAGGCAATAGAATATGTGACAGGGCGACGTGCTACTGAAGATGGTGATAGAGGTGAGTCTGAATGTGAACTTGAAGATACTTCTATGATTGGCTCGGTCGGCTCTAGCTCTTTGTCAACCGGATTGGGAGGAAGAGCAGGTATGATAGTGCGTAACAAAGGAGGAAACCACGCGCTGGAATGGAGAGAAACAAAGGCGAGAAATTTTGAATTGTTGGCAAGACATGAATCTGCCTTATACACTGATTGTTTTGAAGACGTTAAATCCAGATCCTCCTGTGGCCATAATGGCGCCCGGGATTTGCGGATGCCAATGCGCCTCCTTGATCTGCTCCATGTAGTGCACGAATAGTAGTTGCGGTGGTACATCCTGCACGCCAGCTGTGTACTTGCTCTCTTCGTCGTCGAGCTCGACAGCTAGATCCCACAGAGTAAGGGTGTTGTCACCAGCGCAAACAAGCACGATACTGTCGTCTGTAGGATGCCACTCGACCGAAGTGATTTGCTCCTTGTGGAAAGTGTACGATGCAACTGGCGAAGGCTTCTTGTCGTTTGACATGTCTGTAGAGGGCTTCCATTGCCGCAGGTCCCAAACTGCCCACTCGCCATCATCTGCGCCGGTAGCGAGAAGATGTGCGGTTTGATGCGACCAACTCAGTACGTTGACGTCTGTCTTTGAGGCTTGCACACTGAGTACAGGCTTCCGTGACTTTGACCGCGCGTCCCAGATCTTGACTGTGCCATCGCTTGACGCGGAGGAGAAGACATGTTTCTCAGTTGGTGACCACTGGAGCTCCTCTACCGAGCCACTATGGCCGGTATACGGTGTGGTGTCTGTGACGAAACCTCCACCCTGTGTCCGTGTCGTCGCAAAGATCTTTCCAGTACAGTCGCCCGTCAGGAGCTTGCCCTCTGGTATGATTGGCGACCAATCTAGCGCATAACCCTCGTTGGATCCATGGGCGCGAATCGTGCAGACAGGCTTGTTTTGTGTGGGCGAGATGGTAGTACCTGGGGTATCGAAGGCTGTGAGGTGGGGAGTAACGTCGTGGATCAGAACCTGTCCTGACTCGGTCATGGCAGCAGTCAGGGTTGTAGGAGGCTGTGCAGATGTTGCTTGTGGTGTTTGGTGGGCGCGTATGCGGTTGGTGCAGCTGGTCAAGGGTATCGACTTGGTCTCGAGGATGGGGTCTGAAGCCTCGTCGTCGGAATCCTCGTCGTCGTCCTCTTCGTCCTCCTTCTCCATGCGCGACAGGCTGCTCATCTTCATGACCATGATCTGGTTCTCTTTGTCCCTTCCTCGCGCTGCTTGTGTGCCAGCGACCGAGTAGACGGTTGCGGGGTATGTTTTGCGGTCTACGCCTAGGTTGTCGGGTACGATGTCGCATGATAGACAGGGCCATGGGGCTTCGAGCGCATGGAGCATCTCATATGTCGAAAGATCGGGGTTCAGTGTCTCGCCTGGGGAGAGTTTGTGTCGACCAGGAATGAAGGTATCTTGGTCAACATCCATACCACCTGGGGGCGTTAGTGGTGGGCTCCAGGCCTTTGATCGTGCGCAACATACTCTCGCGCTCTTCTGCTTCGCGCTCCTCGTCCGGCCGTCCGTCTACGCCGGCCTCTAGGATTTCGTCCTCGCTCTCGAACTCATCCTCGAATTCGTCCTCGAAGTCGCCCACGTCGTTGTGCTGGTCAATCTCCATGGGACGCTCTCCATTTTTGATTGCCTCCTGCTCTTGCTCCGAGTCTGCGGGTCGTTTCGCCATGGTGTGGAAAGCGCGTGGTGTGTGCTTTGGGTGTCTTGGACGATGTCGTTAAAAAAAAGTTGTCAATGGAAATTGTCCCGCCGAATGTTTTTTGAGGCTTATCGATCGGCGTATCGGGCGGCGCTAAGTGACGGCATCCCCCCTCGCACCTAACAGTAGAGGGAAACACTGCGCCCAGTCCAATCGCATCGCGTACATGCTAGGTCAACAAGACCGAGACGGCACCCATAATACACAGACGCCCCCTGAAGTTGGCATACAATTGTACGAGCAGGAGAGTCGCCAAGAAAGAAGAAAATACACGCTCCGCTTGCGTTCACCGTCTCGACGCGTGCCAGGGCGCTTTCAGCTCAAGTCACGGACCGCGGGGCCACGGAGACATAGTAGTCATGGAGCCAGAGTACCCGAGTCAGGAACCCGCGCAGCAGGCCTCCTTCGCACCTGCCGTGCAAGTCGCGCCTGAGCAGCTGCAGCCCGAGCCAGTACTGCCCGAGCAAGTGCCCGTCCAAGGCGACCAGGAAGCGCAGAAGCACATGGACCAGACCATGGACGGCGCCGACGACAGCATGAGCTCCACCATCACCGCCTCGACTGTCACGCCCCTCCCAGACCTCAGCCAGAACACCAGCCTGAACAACAGCCCCAACCCCTACGAGCAGCCTCACCGGCCCTCAACCTCGTACTCAGACACCGCGTACCAGTACACCACGCACAACGGCTCGCGTTTCAACACCTCCTCAGACGCCGACACGCCTCCGCGACATGGCTACTACGACGCCAACAAAGAGACACATATGGGCCAGTCGCATTCGCGGCCGAGCTCGCAGATGGGACGGTACCCAACCTCCGAGGGCAACACGCGCTCCAACTCGTACCAAGAGCAATCACGGAGCGCACAACAACAACAGCAGCAGCAGCAAGAGGCTGCCAAGAACGCCAGCGTTGTCATCAAAGTTGGCATGGTTGGAGACGCGCAGATTGGAAAGACCAGCTTGATGGTCAAGTACGTCGAGGGCAGTTGGGATGAAGACTACATCCAAACACTCGGTGAGCTACACAAGCATGTTCCATAGAATGCAACTTCTAACAACCCCAGGTGTGAACTTCATGGAAAAGACCATCTCGATTCGAAACACCGAGATCACCTTCTCCATCTGGGATCTAGGCGGTCAACGCGAATTCGTCAACATGTTGCCACTGGTCTGCAACGACGCCGTTGCGATACTCTTCATGTTCGACTTGACACGGAAGAGCACGTTAAACTCCATCAAGGAGTGGTACCGACAGGGACGCGGCTTCAACAAGACTGCCATCCCATTTCTGGTCGGCACAAAGTACGACCACTTTGTCAACTTCCCACGAGAAGAACAGGAGGAGATTTCCAATCAGGTACACCTCACCTGCTGGGGCTAAGGACAGTACCAGACTAACATTGCCTAGGCTAAACGATTTGCGCGAGCAATGAAGGCCAGTCTGATCTTCAGCTCGACTAGTCATAGTATCAACGTGCAGAAGGTGAGAGGCTACTGTTACAATCGCCGGCCCTGTGCTAACATTAGCTCAGATCTTCAAGATCGTGCTGTCAAAGGCCTTTGACCTCAAGTGCACTATTCCCGAGATAGAAAACATCGGCGAACCCTTACTCCTCTACCAAGCCGTCTAGTCGCCGGACCGTAGAGACCGTAGAGTCAGACCCAGAACAGAGGGAACACGTATGAACCTATCTGAGGGCCAGATCGGGCACGTCTTCTATCGGAATGTTACCATGAGCGAATGATTTTCATGACTGTTTTGCGTGGGATTGCATGGCTCGGCGATTGGAGCAAGGTGCTAAGATACATGGTTGGTACAAAACCGGCGTTCTTCTGCTTTATGTATGCGGAAGTGATTGTATGATTCGAACATCAAGGCCTCGGCCGGGGCGCAGGTCTAGCGCCAGGAGCGCGCAAGATACGCAGCCTCACAGCAAACATCGTAGTGTAATAACTAGTAGTTGGAATCGAGCATGTCTTGCTGGCATTTACGTGATTTCAAGCAACATACATGGCTAGTTGGCGGTAAGTTTAGGCGAATGACGTAAGCTTCCGCAGCTAAAAAGTGTACAATCCCAGCATGCGACACCAATCATCAGAGAGAGCTTCAATACCACGCCCACGAGATCTCGCCCAGACTCAGACACAAAAACAAGACAACGCAGCCGATGTACCACATCGCGAACCGATTCACATACTAAAGATCGAAAGCAACGTACCACCACCTTGCGACTAGAACCGTCAGTCAAATCGAACCGCATAGACTTTTCTGAGCACAGGCTCAACGAGACACACCTACCATCCACCACCATAATGGCGCTCCCTCCAGTAGCGCTACCAGGACAACTGCTTGGCAGTGTCGACAAATACAGTCCCGGTCCAGGAACGCACATTCACGACTCACAGATCTATGCCTCAATAGCTGGACCCGTCTTCTCTTCACCGTCACACCCTACCACGAACACGTCCTCCAAATCCACCAAACTCGCACCACTGCTCTCTATAACGCGCCCGCCCACCTCCACTGATCCTGGAATTCTCGGTCCCAATTCTGGTGGCGGCGTACCACTCCTCCCAACGGTCAACAGCACAGTCCTAGTCCGCATAACGCGTCTCGGCCCACGCTTCGCCAGCGCAGAGATCCTTGTCATTGACGATGCAGTTTGCCGCGAAGCGTTTTTAGCACAGATTCGGCGCGAAGATATACGGGCTACAGAGAAGGACAAGATAAAGATTGAAGAGAGCTTCCGGGTCGGTGACTTGGTGAGGGGCACGGTGATTAGTTTGGGCGACAGCGGCAATTACTACGTTGCTACCGATCGAAATGAATTCGGTGTTGTCTTGGCAAGAAGTGAAGAAGGTAGGGTCATGCATCCGGTTAGTTGGAAGGAATTTAGGGACCCAGTGAGTGGGAAAGCAGAGGCGAGAAAGGCAGCCAAGCCGTTTTGAT